TGATGACATGCGGTAGTGGAGACATACACTGACCAGACTTACCAAGCGATGTCACCACTCTGAACCCCGATGCCTTCAAGTAGAGAAAGAAAGTTACATGCGCCTCCGATCGGATCGGATCTTTGCCTCAGAGGTTTTTCATGAGTCTCTGTTGGTAGTTTAGGAAAAATATGCAAAACATCTCTTGAATCATTTTATACAAATGAATAAATCATAAGCCTAAAAGGCATTATACCTCCACTCCACTATCCTCCGGGCTTTTTCTCTGACATGCCTTTGTTTTGAGCCGTGCCTCTCTCTCAACTTATTGTATTATGCTTTTCAATGACCTTGTGGAGAAATGGAACACCTGGGTTGGAAAAACTACTCATTATGGGAATACTCGCTGGAAAATGAACAATGACAGACGAGCGAGACTGAATATGAATAGGCTGCAGCACTGATTGCCTTTTTGTTTTAAATGTTGGCTGTCTTGCCACGTTTAGTGTCCCCTCCGTCAGACAAACGTGCTCATTTCACCACTGGCTTTCTATTGTCTGATTCGCCAGATACGCAAATCTATACTGGCATGCACTTTGCAAGTATGCAAAGTCTGTGGTCTGAGTGGGAGAGAGCTTTTTTTCTGAGTGATTGAGCAACAAAACAGTGAAATACGGGTCAACTGGGGTCTTGACCCGATCATAAGCCTGTCTGTTACGAGTGCTTGTGACTGGGGGGTGTGTACATGACTCCAAAGCTTGTAAAGGCTGTGATCCATCCCATGTGATGGATGAGGGCAGGGTTAAGGGTGCATTAGGGGCTTAAGAGTTATACTGACGCTAACCCGAAACTTGTGGCCTTTCTTTGGGTCAAGCACCCTCGCACAATGTTTTGAAACCTCAGAAAAGCAGGGTTGTAATTCAAGGCTAAAACTGGCACGTTTTTAAATTTAAAAGTGGGGGAAATTGTATAGATTGCATTAGGCGAAACGCAATTTTCTCAAGGTAAACGCCTGAGCATGACTTATAACAGCGACATGCTTAACTGTGTCAATATGGAGTGCTACATAATTTATACTTATGTATGTCATACTGAAGAACGCTTTCCTTTTAAATCTCAAGAGTTGTCACAGTACGATTCCACATCATCTCCTGCACATGTGTGATGTTTTTTCCTTTCCTGGAAAAGTCAGTAACGGACTGTTTTTAGTCATAGAGCCATTTCTAAATGCATCTTGGTCTTAATCCTTTGCATTGGTTTCATGTAACTAGCGCAGATTTCCATTTTTATCTCAGACACAGATCTGGGGATGCTTGCATGAAAAGCAAATCTAAGTGCCATGTCCCCAATTAACTTGAATTCTGATGGGCTTTATATTGCAACTGCACATTCTAAATGCATGCACGTGGGTGAGAACCACTAAGCAGGCTCTCACGTGTGATGTATAGCCTGCAGTATGCACTCAGCAAATACACCGTGTGGTCAAACCCCCAGCAGTGCATACGAGCTATTGTTAAAGACTGTCCTCAGAGACTCGCTCACGTTGCAAATCATCTCATGTAGCCGAGACTAATCAATACATCTGCTGTGTTGAGTGAATATCCAATTTGTCTCCATATTAGCTTGGAAGTAGAGATACATCTTTGGTATACAAAGTCAGTCCTCAGGCTTGTTTATTAACTGTTTTTTAATTAGATTAGTCCAATTATTCTACATGCAAAGAGAAGCAGTACCAGCATCCCTCTCGGCCACGTTGCTGCGACGCAAATCCGTCGCCTTTAGACGGCCGCACCTCCGTCGACTCACTCTGCTGAACTTGAGACCGAAGGAGAGAGATGATCAACTTTTACACAGATTCAAACATGTCAATCAAAACAACTGAAGCAACAAGGGGAGAAAAAGGTGGGAGAGGAGCGAGAGAAATGCATTACCAGTGGGACAGACGAAAAACAAGATGTGAGGGCCCGAGAAGAAGTTGGAAGGAGAGGAGGAGAGAAGAATACAGAGAATCCTGCAGAGACCACTTGAAAGGGAAGAATGTTTTGTTTCTTGCACGAGGCCAGTTCAGTTGTGGGTTATTCGCCCACTGGGGAGACTAACTACTCGTGGATCTAAGGTTTCCCTCCTGTCCCCGAAAACCAAAACATTTGATGAGTGATGGGTCAATGTGATATTTCCTGCAGTACAGGAACTTCTGGCCACCTCCAATCTAAATATTCACAAATCAGGAGAAAGAATTTTGGGCTCTTTTCCAAATTCAATGAAGCGTAAAGCTGCTCGGCCCCAAAGCTGCCCGCCCTTAGTGTGGTTCACATCACTTTTTTATTCTCTCTCCATGTCTTTGCTCATTTTTGTTTCTTACACTGTGAGGCAGATCATCAAACAGCTACACAGTGAGTTTAATGCTAAGCTTCACGCACGTATTGTTTGTCGATAGAAAAAGAACTTTAGCGCCAAGGTATAGCCGAATTTTAATCTTCACGGACATTCATTCTGTGTTGGATGTGAAGTCATTATATATGTGTACGCGCGCGCGTGTGTGTGTGCACAGCTGCCCGTTTGTTTGTTTTAGCCTGGCTGTCACTCACCTCCCTGTCCTCTAATGCTGAGTGTGCAGCATCTTCACTCGTCCAAGCAGAGGCATTCAATTATCTCTGTTCTGTAGAACATGTGCTGGTCAAGTACGGCTGCAGCGTTTCATTTAACGGGGTCAGTGGTGGTTACACGAGTATACGGCTCTGTTAGTCAGCTCCGTGAATGTATTCTGGAGATGAGGATAGTATTGATGCCCATACAGGAGTGTGTGTGTCTCAAGACGTGTGTTTATTTGAGTGAATGTGTACACAATCTGCGTGTGTGTGCGCGTTGCATTCTTCTGCTCACAAGTTTGCCTTGAGGCGTTTTGCAGCGCTGCCGTCTCAGACGGCTGATTCAGCACAGCGCTCACTGCTCTCCTCTTCAGTTTTGCCCATTTATGAGAGTCCAGGCCGGCTTCTGTTTGTCTGTAAACACCACCCGAGGGCACAACCCAAATGCACACATTCTGCTCACACCCCATTAAACACACACTGAACAAGTTATTATGATCCCTTTTCATGAGAGTCAGGGCATTAGATCTGAGGATCGCTGGCTTGTGTGCGTGCGAGATGTGCGCGCGTGGTTCTCCGCTCACCCCGATGTATGAATTTCGTACGGCAAAGACGATGACACATAAGTTCTCTCCCACTCTCCTGCGGGAAAATGAATTTCTGATCTGTGTTTTATCGTCTTGTGGTCTTTGATATCTTCAGAAGTTATTGCTTTGTAAAATGGCTGTGCGGCTGCTCGGTGCGTCCCCATATGGCCAGGGACAGTTTTAAGGGTCTCGATGTGCTCTGAATTAGATGGAGCTTACACACACAAAAATGTGTATTTCACATCAAGAAGGGCAACAAACTTCCTCTTTGAAGGACTAAAATAGTTGCTGACTAATACCCAATGTTCTTCCTGTGCCATCTCACTACAGTTGAATGACCTAATAACCTCATTATGACGCCACAGTTACAGGTTTTTATTGGTTTTGTGTTGGGACCTCATATTTACATAACACTGTAACATTTAAAATTAAATTAAATGTTACATTAAGCTCAACACTTAAAATTACACTAACTGCCGATAGATGAATACATCATGACGGGATGCTAAACGCTAGAATAATCCATCGACACTTTGGCACGAACACACTCACACTTTAATCTGCGAAGCTCTGGCGTCTTTTACATAGAGACACAGGGGCTGAATCTGATTGGATAAAAGCAGGGGAAGACAGGAGCTGTGCAATGAGAAAATAATACATGAAGCATATTTATTTTAGCGAAGGAGCTCCTTCTCTAAAGCTGTGTTTGCTTGTTTTTGTACGGTCATGTATGTGTGTTTGTTTTGGATGGCACGGTCCAGCTGTGTTGTGGACAGTGGTGTGTGACTAGACATAAGGTCATTCAGTTAGCCCCTGGTGTGTTTGTTAGACTGCCACCAAAGGGAGATAGGGGGTAGCCCCTGTTGTGAGCTGTGTGTGTGTGTGTGTGTGTGATGTCTCCTCTTTCTCGTTCACCCCTTATTTTTCTTGCTCTGTTCCACATCCTTCACTAACAGCCCATCAGAGATGGTTGGCTGAATGGTATGAATGGAAGACTCATAAAAGCGAGAACCTGCTCATTTTACAACGCAAACCAGCCCTTCGGTGCATTTTTAACGAAGCATAACATGTTAGAAATAAATCTTAAAAGCCTGTTTATTCAAAGGTGTGAAGGTTTTGCTCACTGTCCGCTGTTTGATCCGGCAGTGAGGTTTTGTGTAACCAGCTAATTCAGATTTCCTTTGCTTTGACCATTTGACCAAGAAACTCCAACAACTCTCATTATTTTGTTTACCTGATACAATATTTTGTTACAATGATATATATTTGCTGTACCATTGTGTTTTTACAGAACTATAAGCATACCCTAGATCAAATTCCAAACCATTATATTCTTTTACTCGGGTTAATCGACACAGCTGGAGAAACTGTACGATGGTTGTCCCATCAAATTTATAGCCCCTCCCCTCCGGAGTGCGGCACTACCACAGCTTTGTCCCCCATCAGTAAGCCTGGTAAAATATTATCCATTCGTCATGGTTAAATAGTCAGTAAATCCTTCCGCACAGTGCAGACCCCTTTGTAGCCTTGTATTCTTCTGGGATATGAGGTTAAATGGATCTGGTTATTGCTTCGAGTGGCCAAGTGACTTTGTCCTCCTCCGCAGCCTCTAAAATTCAGGGCTCAAACACATAAGTTACTATTTTGCCAAATGTGTTTGAATATCCTGTGCCCCCCTAAATATCGTCAGTATATTTACACTTAAATATTGCAAATTAAGTCAAAACAAACTTGCCAATACTTTCTATGTCAATTTGTCTACTAATACTACTTGTGTGCTACTGGCTTGTGTCTTGACTGTATCTGTTTAATTTTATTTTTCCCAAACTGTTGTCTGTTCCCGCAGCGTGCCCCCCGGGTACCTTCAAGTCGACCCAGGGTCCAGGTCTGTGTCTGCAGTGCCCCCCCAACAGCCGCTCCACAGCGGAGGCCGCCACCATCTGCGTGTGCCGCAACGGTTATTACCGCGGCGACGGCGATCAGCCGGACGAGCCCTGCACCAGTGAGTTTATCGTACATGACATTACCTGCGCGCCGGAACACCGCCACACGCTTACATTCTCGTAGGACGAGCTCCTGTCATGGGCGTCCATGTATCCATTTTAGCCGACATTTATATGCATGCATATTGAAAAGGCTGCTCATGCATATAAAAGCCACTGTTTCTCAGCCTATGTCTCTTTGTCACTGTCTTAAAACCAGCACATGTACTACTATTTAAATGAGCTCAGCCCAGCTTTTCCAGACTGGTTATAAGAATCATTTTAGGATTTCCATTGTGGTTGTCTCTGTTTCTCCCTCTCTCCTCTGTTATCTCACTCCCTCTCTGTCTTTTTTGCTTGTCTCTTCTTTCTTTTGGTCTTCTATCATCCCCTGAAGTCCTAATTACTCAGGCAGCTGCTGCGAAGCTTTGACAGAGTCCTTCCGCTACCTGCTGGAGACCCAATAAGGCCTCTCACAGCATCATATTTATCTTAATGTGATGTAAAAAACAGAACGCTAAGCTTTCCCGTCGTTCCCTGTTAACACACAGTTCCACACAAGGCGAGCACCTGAAAAGTGTGTTTACCTCTCTTCCTTTGCGGCCAGTGGGAAGTGTCTTAATGGTTAATTCACCTCACAACAGCAGCCCTGGAAGCTTGATTGGTGTGGTTGTGTATTTAATTAGTCCTGATGTATTCGCATAGACCTGGCTAATTGGCCTTAGGAATGGGCTCGGGACCGCAGTCATTTCTAAATCATTTAACAGCCTTTGCAGCTAAAACATACTGAATGCACCTCTTTTGCCATGTTTCCTTTTCACACCTATTGCCTTAAAGTTGGAGTGGAACCCAAACATAGCATGGCTGTCTGTCTGACTATTTGAATGCTTCCCAAGAGTAGCCGTCCACACCTTTTTAGGCGTTGGTTGTTCTCAAAGGACGACAACCCACATTCACCCTGAGTTTCCTCCACCCACCCATGGTACTCTAAACATCTCTCTGGTGGATTAGTGAGCGCTCCATCAACTACAGCATCTGCCTCTACCTCGAGGCCGCAACCGTTCCCCAGTGAGATCCCTCTGGTCCGTGTTCAGTTTCCGAATGCAGGCTGCGTTACCTTTCTTCTATTCTTTCAATCACGGCAATTCGGTCTTCGCTCCTCTGTCTAATGTTCTTTTTCCACCTACTTCACGCTCAGTTTTCTTCTCAATTTTGAGCCGGACAAATGATAAATAATGGTTGATATGTCTTTAAAAAGTACAAATTGTCCGATACGTTTTCCAACCACCCCTTTTAACTTTACCCAAGTAGTTAGTTCCTCCTCAATTTGAGTAGAAAGAAATACTTTGCAACACCACATTGAAAGCCTCCACAAAAGGTTGAATCATGCAGCAGCGGCTGAGCGTGATGCTCAGGGTGCCCTAGATCTCAGCGGGGGGGGGGGTCTCAGTGAGATCATCCTAGTAAGAATCTCTTTAATACTGCTGGCCCCGATAAGAGCCCTGCTTGAGAGTAGCATAAATCAGGCCAATCTGCAGCAGCCGAAGCTTCGGCGCCTCTTGCCGCCATCAGAGGTCCTTGTGTGCTTCAGATCAGTCTGATTAGCTTTCTGACGGATTGTCCGACGCCGGCCTCTAAGGCGGGGAGGGTTCACGTAACAACCCCCCCCCCCCCCCCCCCCGCCCGAAAGAAAAAAAAACTTATATTTCCCCTCCCGCCTTTTAACACCCGGCGAGGGGTCTGTGTTCTCCCCTGGAGGCCCCCTCTTTTAGATTGGGCTGCCGGGGGCCCGAGATTCTGCCCCGCACCGTTTCCCCCCCCTTGGGTTACGCAGTCCGACGCACCCGGGGAGCGTGCACGTGTGAAAGGGAGCTTGTGTGAGTGTGTTGGAGGAGGTCAGTCGGATCCACCATGCTGGGTTTCTCAAAGTGTGAGTTGGAGAAGGAGAAGGACACGCTGAGTGGAAGCTGAGGGGAGTCTGGAGTTGAAACAAGTGATGATTGGTTCGTAGTGGAGAAGGGATGCAGTGATGGAGCAAGCTGGTGTGAGGAGTATCGGCAAGGGGAAGGGACTGATGGGAAGGAAGGACTAATGACAAAGATGGGTAGGAAACAAAAATCCATCAATGCAGTACAAGGGACATGACGAACTGAGATTTTAATCTTTTCATTTCAAGGTTAAGGCTGAATGTCAAATAAATAATGAATTAAAATAGCTCCACGCACAGGCCGCAGTAACTCGGAATAAATTCCATTGAGGCAGAATACGAATACAATGTTATTTTTATTTTTTTTAAGTAATTGAATCAGCATAACTCTAGGAAAAGAGAAGGAAAACCGCATGTTTATTACATTCCTGATCCATTCCAAATTGGCTCTGAATCTTGCGGATCAAATTCAATACTCTTCAATGTCTGTGCCCGTCCCCTGAAAACCCCCCTTGATCCCTGTCAAACACTGTCCGCGCCTTGTAAAAACCCATCAAAGTTCCTGCCTGAAACAACAGGGTTACCTGCTTTTCAATTCTCCTCAGCAGTCCATTTAAACCTTTTCTTCTTCTTTGCTCTGCTATACTGCAGATTCTCTCCCCTTGTTCTGTTCTCAAAGAGAAAGAGGAGGGGCGGGCTGCACTAGTCTCACCCTCTCTCCCTTTGCCTCTCTCTGTTTGTGTCACATTAAAAAATGCAGGTTTTGAGATTATCCTGTTTTGAGTTACAAACTTCAATCTTCCAATAATCCGTCTATGACCCTCAGTCTCAAAGTCGGACAGTATTAGTCCTTGTGACACCTTTTATTTAATGTCTCATCAACCCACACAGCGCGTCCCCCTTTCTCCCAGCTGTGATTAGTATCTGCACACAGGGGCCCTCTCTTGGTCCCTCAGGGCCTGTTTTACATCATGAATACAAACATGTTCGAAAGAAGAGAAGATTCGGTCTCAGACCATTCAAAGGAAGAATTGTTTTGGTCTTGGCAGTAGAACACTGTGTACTGTATTAGCAGGCCAAAAAAAAGAAAGGTCTGTGGTCCATTAAAGTCTAGGTGGCACCTTAATGCAGCATGATGAGTTATTATCAGTTTTATTTGGCCAAATTTACAAGGGTGAATCCCAAACTCTCCGGTCCCGACATAATTGGTATTTTGGGGTTTATTCTCCTGAATGTAGACAATAAAAGCAAGGTGACCAGACTTTTACCATCTCCACAAATTCAGTTGAAGCTTCAATCAACTCGGCTTCATTTTTTTCTTTGCTACATTTGTGGCTTGCTGTTCTCCTGCTTCCTGGACAACCAAATTATTCAGGAAGAAGAGTAATTGTGTCAGCTAGAATAATCGTGTCCCCGTGATTGCCACGGCTTTTAAAACAGTATACAATTAATTATGCAATTGCCCATTCTAACAGATAACACCGGCATTGATAAATGCTCAAGTTACCGGACATCTTGCGCGTGTTGTTGTGATTGCACCATTAAAATAGAGCCCTGACTTTGCTCAGATGCAAATCACAAAGAGCATTGGAGCTGCTCGGACACAACCTTCACTTAATTGAAAGCAACTTATGTATGTTAGGTCAACAAAATCTGACTCGCACTGAAAGGGAGCTGAGAAACGTTCTCAACACATTGAATGATTTGGAAACTAACATGTGTAGAAATAGATCTCTGCCGTAACTATCTGCCGTAAACACACAGTAATAAGAAACTCAAGCGCTGGGTCATTATATGCTTGAAAGTATATGTGTATGTTTTTTCTCCTATTTTTCTAATGGGAAAAAAAGAGGAGAGGAAAAGAAGAAGAGTATGTTAGAGAGCGGAGTAATTCTTCAAAGAGTTTCTAGAGTTGAACAGAATTTATTTTCACAGTAGTCGTGGTGGGTCAGTTAAACTCCTCTTCTAATAATAAAGGTCACGCGTTATGGAGGATGAATTGGAACCAGATCGGCTCCGCGGGGCAGCCTCACTTAACCCTAAGCAACACTGACTAAGGGCTTTGGCGAGGTTTCTGCTTTATCGCCAGTGTCTGCTAACGGTGAAGAAAGAGCATCCGCACGGACGCAGTCTCTACACGCTGCCGTCGGAGCAGATTTTGAACTCTTAGCGAATTGTGCTCCAATTGCGTCAGGCTGAAGAAGCCACTTTCCTACAACCTAATATTAAGTCCCCGCTCAAGCAAAACAATTATTGAATTATTTTGTGATTTCTGTCTGGATGTTATGTCTGAGGTTCTGCTCCAGCTGTGGGCTGTGAGGGAGTCAATGGGAGCGTGACACTCCAGGGCCACTTTGCTAAGAATACTCCATGCAACACTGCGTTTTGCAGAACCGCCGATGTTTGCTAGACGCACACTTTTCTCCGTATGATCCCTCGGGGTGTGAATGGATACATTAGCATTCCAATACCAATGGAGATGGCGAAAAAAAGGAGACAAAGAAGCTGCTCTTCACACTGCAACACTTTATTACAGGGTTGTAAATTAGCTAAATTGACCCAGCAGCAGGCAGATTCATGAAAGACTTTTTCCAGTTATTTTGCTCATACCATCATCGCAGCTTACCTTTCTAACTTGTTTATTCTGGAAATTCCAGCCGTACGGTAAATAATCACAGCTAATTTGGATTACACCTGCTGTTTCCGTGCGCCCTCCAGGTGTCCCGTCCAGCCCGCGGAATGTCATCTCCATAGTGAACGAAACGTCGGTGATCCTGGAGTGGCATTCTCCCAGGGAGACGGGCGGCCGCGAAGACGTCGTCTACAACATCGTTTGCAAAAAGTGCCGGGCCGACCGTCGCTCCTGCTCCCACTGCGACGACAACGTGGACTTCGTCCCTCGGCAGCTGGGTCTGACTGACACCAGGGTGTTCATCAGCAACCTCTGGGCGCACACTCTCTACAGCTTTGAAATACAAGCTGTCAATGGAGTGAGCAATAGGAGCCCGTACCCTTCTCAGCATGTCTCCATTGATATCACCACCAACCAGGCCGGTAAGTGGCTGCTACGGCCGCGCCTCATGATGACAGGGCGGCGGCGTTGATGAGGATGACAGCCGTATTTTGTTATCCATTTGAAATGGCAAATTTCGAAAATCTCCAATTTGCAAAGTTATTATTGTTGTTCTTGGTATTGGTGGTATTAGATTTAAATCATATCACTTTTAAAATACCATCATCTTGTACAATTTGCATTTGAGTGTTAATCCAGGCCTCGGCTGACACGGCTGCTTGAAGCCAGCTGGTTTACTAAAAGTTCCACATACATGTTCTCTTTCTCCGCCTTCCTGGAATCAAAGCAACGACTTTCATTTATACAAACATGGTGGAGGAGTTCAGGCTCAACACAGAGCATGTTACATTTTGTAGGACAAGCGCCATTTACTGCAGCAACCCTCTTTCCTTTTTGGTTTATTTACACATTAAATCTGATGATGGGAATAAACCGAGTTTGCATTCCAGAAATTCTTGCTTTTCAGCACTGAAGGTAATCGCCCTTCAAAAACACAAGTCATTTATGAAACCCCTTTACATGTTTTTGAAGTTCACATCTGGAGGTTGCGGCTTGGTGCTTCACTGACTGACTGATTTTTTTCGTGTTTTTTTTTCTTTGGTTTTTGTTGAATTTAGACTTTGTTGTCACGAGCGATGCCGCACAGCAAGCCTCAGTACTTCCCTCCCTCACGGAAGGCTACGCCCCAGTTTAAAGCCGCCTGTAAATCTTCAGATTCCTACACTGCTGTCTGAATTAACAAAAAAACACAAGAAAATGAATCTTACTTAATTCTGCCCTGTTAATACACTCGAGGAATTCTGAGCGGTACGCTTCGTCTGCAGAGCCACCGCTCCGTGTTGCTCTGTTCTCGGCTTAGCAAGGCAGAAAACAGAACTACAAGCTCCCCCCTATGGTGTCGTATCAGAGCTACCCCGCTCCCCTGTTTAGTTTGTGTTTGCGTGCATTTGTGTGTGTCCTCTGCACTTTGATGGACCAGCGCACAGCCGAAGAAAATGACCTTCGTACTCCTCCTGTCCTTCTGTCTTTTTTCCCGTCCGTCTCTCTCTGTGTTTGTGTGCTCATTCTCTTAACTGCGCCCGATGGGACCTGAGCTCAGCCGATGGAAATGACAGGTCGAGAATATTTTCTCTGCCGGAGACTTTCTTTTTTTTTTTTTTTTTGCAACCCTGTTTTTCATGCTTTTGTAGATATTTGACTTGCGCACAGAAGCAACTATCAAGGGACAAGTATTGACCATGTCAAACATGTAGATGAGGCTTGCTTTGTTTTTGGTCCATCTGTGGATGCAGCGGACCGTGAAAGTCACGGCTTAAGCTTATGGGACCTATTAATAGACAAAGTGAAGTTTCTTTTTGTTGAACTAAAGGGATGAACCCATCTGACTCTTCTTAGTCCTGGTACTTGTGTATCGGACATCAGCGAATACAGAGTACCGGTCCGATGTAAGTGTTTGAATAGGAAGCTGTGGGCCTCGCTGGTTGGAAGTGACTGGGACCATTGTTAGTTTTGTTTTTCTTTTCTAACTTAACTCCTAAAATGTGTGATTATTTATTATTTTTTTAAATAATAGATACAAGCATCTTCAAGAAATGTAAAATTAACTGGAATTACAGTTAAATTGTTAAAGGTGGCAACCCATGTTTGGGTCGTTAAACAGGAATTCAAATTCCATTTTTTATTATATATCATATAGAACCAAATAGACCTCTAATGAAATCTTGTCAAATTTCAGGCACGAGATTTTTGGTCAACTTTTGTCAGCTGGGGCCCCCAAACCTTCTATTGGCTATGCAATGATTTCCTCTGTTACACTCTCTACAAAGTCTGACCCAACAACAAAATCCCTAATGCCAAATGAATTCCAAATTACGCACACTTGTAGTTTAATTGCGGAATGAAGTTATTTCACATTTATCTTGAAGACCCAGAAATGGGAATTACTGGATTCGCTTCCCTTTTGTATAGGAGCGCGTTTTGAAATGAAATCTGGCCTAGTTGCTGGAGAGTGTGTAAGGTATTTGATTACGATAATTCCCAGAAGAATGTAATGAACAACCAGACTTGTCTTTGTTTGAGAATGAATCCGGAGGGAGGGAGGGGGTAGTGGGAGGGAAGACGGGGCCGGATGGTGAAAGGAACTTTTTTTTTTTCTTCCTTTGACCAGACTGCGACAGCGAAGGAGAGGAAAATGAGGCAGTAAATAGGTCTGATTATCAGGGTGGCCTAATGGTTCTGACTGTCCCCATTTGACAGGCTAATAGCACGCTTGACAGATAGATGTGGAAGAAGCAATGCACAGGCCTATTGTTGAGGTCTGCTGTAGTAATGAGGTGTCTACCAGTAATCTGCCAGTCCTATGTCCAGCCCTATGTGGCCCTTTGTAGCCAGGTAATTGCCCTGTTCCTGGTTTCGACAGGGGCTTTTATTGGCAGGCCGCTGAAAAGGCAGAAGCATTCAGAAGGGATTTGTGACAATATTAATGCAATTCAACTACTAAAAGATGAGGCACTTTAAGAATTGAGGCTCTATTGTTGTGGCGTCATGAAGACTGCATTAACTCATGCAGGCGATTTTTCATCATTTTGGAAACGCTCTTGTCTGTTCATTTGGTATTTTTGTGCAGTGCGTAGCTCGAATCATGCTATGTTGGGAGAGGTGACGTAACAAAATGCAAGTTCCATATGTAATAGGAGAGGTGTTTCCGTCTGGGGCACAATAGAATTGCCAAACAGTCAATCGACCAGATATATTTTATTAGTTGAAATAGGTTTGTTTCTCCTTCAGATTGCAAGCCAATTTCACTTCAATGACTCAGCCTGTCAAGGTGAGCCATTTTTCTCATGTACGATTTGTGCTCAGCATGGCTGTTAAAAGGTTTTGAGGTAATTAAAATGATTGCTGCGCAGGTAATTATTAATTAACATACCCCTTTGTTTATCGTTCATTCTGTCCATCCTCTTTGCAAACAATCGGCATGGCTGTGTGTTTGTGGAAGTAAATCACTTGTGCATTTGGACATGCACTGGAGAAGCGAGTGCGGTTGTCACTGTGTCCCAAAGTGTCCCAAAATGAAGTGCATGTTATATCAATCACATACACAAGGTACATCTAAATTTAAAGGACTACCTCACCAATTTTCAACCTTACCTTGGTTTACAGTGACCAGCTAATCCACAGCAAGCAACATTATCCTATAGCACACCAAAGCTGCAGAAAACATCTGTCTAAGCCTCAGTTCTGTTTGGTTAAAATAATGACAAGAGGCCTTTGTACCAAAATATAGCTTCCCTTGCACATATCATCGCGCTCAGAAGCACATCGCTGGTCATGGGTTTTGAGGAGGATAAATTCCAGGCTCACGAAGGCTTTACACGAGATATAGTCCGTCGTCAAAAGTAATGGTATATTATGACCCTTCCAGCACTATAGAAATGTCAACCCATGAGAGAATAGATAGATGAAGTGGTCCTTTAAGTCCGATTACCCGGGAAACATACAGTTTGTCTTTGTCTCAATGGAGTCGTTGCCTTTTCAACTTCGACATGGCTTTAGTGTGTGTGTGTAGGAACAGAGACGAGAGACAACCTGAAGAACTGTCAGGCGGCAGGCGTGAGAGGGTTTTTCGTGTGAATTGGCCACAAAGAGACAAAGGTGAGAAAAGGAAAATGGACCAGGAAGAGGAGAGGAGGAAATAATGGATGTGAGGAGGAAGTTGAGGATTTAGTGTGAAGCAACGAAGAGGCCATTTAACTGCCCTCCATCCTAGTGTGTGTCTGGGAGGAAGGACTGATCAATAGTGTGATTTAGGAGGTCATTCACTGCCTGTGCTCGCCAGGAGATGCACGCACACACACACCCAGACACAGGCATACGACTATATACAGTGCCCTATTGGGCATCATTCACACCTGGCCTCAATTCAGTCATCTTGATCTAGCTATTTAACAGAAGTCATTTTTCTCTGTTGATTGAATGGGGAAGAAATGTCTCTGCGCTCAGGTAATTAATCAGGTTGGTAATTTACCATGATGATAAATATGCGTAGCAGTGGTGAAAACCTCAAACGTGCCAACCATGTTTTCTCATGTAATCCAGCATTTGATTTCCACCCATTACTGATTCAGATGGTGGATTCTCCATCATTTACACATTTTACAACTACTTTCTACGTGAGAAAAAAAGTCAATATAACGTATGACTGGTATCTTTTCCAACTAATGCCTGATTTCCAACAGTTCTCTGGTCTGACTGGCACAGCCTTCCTGACCCAGATGATGTGCCAACAGACCACAGAATGCCAACTATATTTACAAACACTCCTTCTCCACTTGGCCGCTCTGTTTGGAGAGCTTTTCCCACAGAAATGCAAACACCTCAAGTACAACCGGGTACAAGATGTTGTGCACTACACTGAAATCCAAACAACTGGAAGAATTAGAACTGCTTTTTTTTTGGGGGGGGGGCATCTTTTGATTCCACTGGATGTCATGAAGCCCAAAAGAAGAGGTATCAGCTGCAGGCAAAAGGAACCGTGTGGGCTTTAATGCTACCTGGATGTCTTTACAAAGTGTATTAAGTAACGCTAGAAAGTGTGTGTGTGTGTGTGTGGCAAGGTGAAAAGTAAGCTTATGCAGTGTACAAGTGCCTTTTTTAATAACAGCGCTCCGTTTCAAATCCACAGCGTTAAAAGTGATTTTTGAAAATAATTGCAACCATAATTTCTTGACAGAAATTGATGGTGCTGAACTGATCCCTCTTGATGATGTTTGAGGCCTTTTTACCGGGTAGTCATGGCTGGCTTGGCTGGCTGAGCCCCTTGCTAATAGGGAGGCCAGTAGTTAAAACCTATGCCTTTCTTTGACAGAGGCACAGCACATGACTATAGGCCGCTCTCCTCATCTGAGACACTGAGCCCCTATTAGGTGGCTGCATGGTTCAATGGTGTGCCAGCATCCTAAAGCAGAGACCGCAGAGGGAGCGGGTGGGCTTGAACTCGAGTCCATGTGTGTGCATGCTTTTGTCCTATACAAACAGTTGAATGGGAATTCGGTACTCGATCAGCTGACCAAATATAGTGCATCTTTCTGTCCAATTATCAGAGTCACTGAGGCGAAGCAGGAAATTCCCTCTGGGAATTAAGTATGGAAAGCTGTGCTGCATGAGGACGGCCAACTTTCCCTCGAATCTCACAACTAAAGAGGAGAAGCATTGAAAAGAAACAGAGTCAGAGATGTTAAATAATTATTTAAGACATATACTATATTTACAGTTTTTGGTACTTCACCCATGCAATAGACTAAAAGTAAGGATATTTCTGAATATGTTTTGACCATTATTTATATTCTCCTCTACAGTCTACTAATAAAACCCCGAAGGGCACTTTTTATATATAAACCAACCTGTTTGATATGGTGACTGACCCCTCTCCATATGAATTATGGGGACTGCACACTGATGGAGCAATAATGAAAACAGACGCTCGGGTCTGTGCCCGACATGTTAAATGATGCCTCAACTCATCTGTATTCCAAAGTAGATGAATCATCCAAAGGTAAAGAAGCTTTTTATTCTTTCATCCCTTACTTTTAAACCTTCTATCAACTTCTTCTCTCAGTCTCTCCTTCCCTTTTCCCCCCCACTTTCTCTCTGTCTCAGTCAGACACGGGGAGGCTTTGACTTTGATTAATGGTGAGCCAAGCGCTGCATTAAAAGCCAGGGGCAGCGAGTGGGGCCAGACAAAAGTGGAGCACAGGAGCAAGGGATGCGAGGGATGGAGGGAGTGCAGGACACAGTCACCAATCACTGTCAGCGTCATCGTCCCAGTGTGACAGTGGGGGGGGGGGAGATGCGATGGAGGGGACAGCGGTGCTTCATTGGGCTGAGCCTCACCCTCATACGGGCGCAGCACATTGTCTCTGACAGGCTCTTCCCACAGAGGCTATAGGGCACGCAGAGATACATACTGAACATGTGCACACGCTCCTTATTTCTCTCCCTTTTCCTCTCTAACGCGGTCTCTGTGGGACCATTTGGACACGGTAGCGAGTAAGAAAAGCTTTTTGTGGATCATATGTCTGAATTTGTGTTGGGAAGTTCAGTCAATTCAGAATTTGCACTCGCTAACCTAATATTTCTACTGTGTAAATATGTTGTTGTGGAAGTTTCATCATGCTTGCGCTAGCTGAGGTTACCTTTGCCTCAGCTAGCAGCGATGTTCCCGTCTTTGTCGTTTTCTGTTGCCATAGAAACTTGTCGAGAGGCTGTGAATGAAACACTGCATGGTAGTTATGGAAAAATAAGTTGAACAAACATTCCATGAGTTTTGTGGGTTGCTCTGGCTCAGGAAGCTATGATTGACCCGGTTGTTTTCCCGAATGGGGTCAAAAGCCCTCAATAAACACACCATCAAGGCTTTTTACCCCAAAAACCTGAGAGTGGGTCGTGATTCGTAAGGCTCAGATACACACAGCCACGTACAGTACCGGTCAAACGTTTGGTACTGTAAACTAACAGAGGTATTAATCACCAGACGCTACATACATACATACATACATACATACAACAATGATCTGTGGTAAGAGATGAATGTCTTTCTCTGTGTGCGCCTGAACACGCTAATTGAGTTAGGACCAGGACTCCGGACCGGGGCTTTGGTAATACCTCCCAATTTTTCTCCAAGGCAGGAATTTCTGTTTGGAGTGCCCCTCCCCTGGGCCTGTCAGCAGCAGTGTGTGCCTCTGGCCGGTAATTGATAATGCGGCGCAGGCAGCCGGCGCCCTGGTCAGTGGAGCGTGAACCAGCCTGAGAGGCTGAAGTGCACCACGGTGAAACTCAACCCTCGCAATCTCTGTCGAAAGAAAGAGAGGAATAGAGTGAGAAAGGGAGGGAATGCAGGAGGTGAGAGCCAAGGGAGGCGTGTAACAGAATCCATTTGCAGTGACAAGAGGTACAGAGCATATTTATTTGTTTACAGTTTTATCTCAGGTAATAATCGGACACTAATACAAATACTGACCGGAATATTTTCTACAGAACACAATCTGCAAAAAGAACCCCACTGAGGGAAAAGGTCAGGGGCTTTTCTCCTTACAGAACTAAGTACAACTAGAAGGAAATAAATAGAATACGCATTGAGGTGTCTGGTGAAAAAACAGAGATCATTTATTTGAGAGAGGGTGATACTTGCAGCCTTTTTGTATGGAGGAGTTATTCAGAAAGATGGTGAGTGGAGACCAGGTGGAGCGATGACTCGGCCTCAGCACAACACGTAGAGCTCGGGCTTGTGTTGGGCTGCATTAATGCCTGCAGACACGCATGTGTGTATATAAGCACCGTGGCTTTGATTTGGCTTAATATGAGCAGCCGCAGAGTTTTAATTAAACGTACTTGTATGTTCACAAGCGGTTTTGATGAGTACGTTTGGGTGGATTCATATTTGTGATTGTACATCATCAAAGAGATTCGTTTGTACCTAAAAGCTAAGTAATTTGTATTTTTGTTGAATATTCTTTTATAAACATCTTTCATGCTTTTCTCTGCTTGATTTATTCATAGTAAGGGTTCTACTTAAAGACCCTGAAACCAGCAAGCAATCATCAAAATAAAAGAGTTTAGCTTCCTAGTTCGACACTCAAAAACAAATCCGCGTCATCAGGACTGTGCACGTCATTTGATCAGTTTGTCTTGACCGTGCTGGCAACATGATTTAACAGCTGTGCAACTTTGATCACATTCGGATTCTGATTGGTGGAAATAAGAGACGTCAACATTTTTACAACCAACTGCGCCCGACTCAAACCGCTAAGAGCCGGGAAGAAAAGACAACACAAAAATCTCTGATAACTACGATTCCGATATTGTGTTAATTAAAAACTGTCTTTGTAGGGCTTTGCATCCTTTTTTTAAATCCTGTGCTACACAATTCCTAATTCTAAAAGTCATAAGAAACATGAGAGTTAACATTAACAGTGAAAATAGAACATACTAACACCTTTACTAGATTATCGTGGTTCCAAATGAGCCCTAGAAAGTGTGTGATGGAATGAAATGTTCAAATGTCATAAACTCTCTCCTCTGCGACGTGCAAAGCCAGCACAAGCACAGTCTGTGACATTTAGAAACTTGTCAGTATGCCCCTAGATTACACATTTTAACATAACAAATAGATGCAGCCAAAGTGAATATAAGAAAAATGTACCTTTTCCTCACAAAGGAGAAACCCCGATGCGACCGTCAGCAGTGACAAGATATCTGCAGATTTGTTAAATGTCAACGGTGTGGAAATCTGCCAAGATACCATAGCAAAGAGACGGGGATGCATAAGAATATCACCTATATTGAGACATCATTTTGTACAAATACCTAGTGACTTGTTTTATTTCCTTCCATTATCAAACAGACCTTTGGAACGTAATTGCTGCATCCTGAAGGGTGCCACACCTTGTGCTCCCACAATCTGCCCCAGCATTGAAAAGGATCCTGTTCTAAAGCGTACTAAAGTCCTACATGATTGGCTCCTGGACTTAGGCCAGACTCGTGGTGACTGACCATTCTGGCACAACAGTAATCAGAGCCCAAGTCCACACCCTCAAATCTTTCCCAAATGCGACAGCCTTATTTTGGCCAAAGCCAGCACATATTTGGTTGTGCGGCACCAGAATAGGCTGAGTGAAGCTCTAATTGGGCTGACTCGGCTGACTCGCCTACCTGGGTACTGATGAGAGTGGCATTTATTTAAACTCAGATTGTGTTCTGATTACTGATCAGATGCTGGTAGCGGGTAAAAATACTGGATGATATGTGAATTGTGAAGTCGGAGAATGTACCAACTATAATTAGCTTTCATAGAAGTTGTCATGTGAATATTAGGCCGATAATGAAGTGCTCGTGGCAAAGCTGGCTTGATATACTAAAAAAGGCCCCAAAAAGACTCCACATATGTGTGTTTAGGCAAGAACGTACTGGCTGAACACTGCTGCATACATGATCTACAGATTGTGAATGCTCACCTTGTGGCTAAGGGAGTGTTTTTCTCTACAAACAGTGTCTGCTGATACATGTGTGTAATTAACCAGATATGTACTTACCCTGTTACTCACTCTCTGTGCCCTACAGCACCCTCCATAGTTCCCATCATGCACCAGATCAGCTCCACAATGAATAGCTTCACACTGTCTTGGCCACAACCAGAACAGCCCAATGGCATCATCCTGGACTATGAACTACGCTACTACGAAAAAGTAAGATAAGCGTCAGTGTGTGTGTGTATATGAATGTATTATTTTCCTTTCCGTGTATATCTTGCACCATTCATTGTATATTGTAAGTCTTTATTCATAAGTGTGAAGGGCCAACGCTGGTGGTGTTTCCTGCTCTGCACAGGCATAGCAAGCTGCACGTATATCGCCCACCAAGAGGGCCCCTGGGTGGATAATGTGTATCTTTCACTGTGTTCACTCCGTCTCTCCCACTGCTCTTTGGTTTCTGCTGCTGATGAAGTAAATAGGTTGACCTCTGCTCCAGGCCCACTCTGCACACTGCAGCAACTTGTCCCGCTGTGAAAATGCATTGCATCTAGGAGGGGAGGGGTGGTGGGGGGGGCGCACATCGACCAGTCTGCTCGCACACAATGCGTCTGCTCTATTAAGTCGCTAGCCCTGCCCCACAGTGCCACTGCTGCTCCAATATTGACCCGCAGGCTTTTCCCAAGGCTTTGGACATAAGCGGAGACTCTAGCTTTTTGTTTGGGCCCTTGTTTGTCCTCCTAAAGCTGATCAATAGTTATAGCAAGGTTGGGCATGGAGTCTCCCCCCCCCCCCCTCCCACCCCCCCCACCCGACCCTGCACCAGTCTTTGTCACCTTTAGCTAAGACTTTTGTTGGTGCACCTTCACCCAAGTTCTGTTCTCCAAGTAAAAGACAAAAATCAATATAGTTTTATAAATGTTTTTCTTTTTTTCCACTGAGCTATTTATTTCACACAAACTCATTTTGGCTAAGGTTCATGGATCAATAATCACAGCTCCAGCTTAGAATAGTGTTTGTCACATTTAGCATTTTCCACCGGAGAGAACAACAGTCATGTTTTTAAATTATGTTTGCAGTTGGAAACTCAGTTAACTAACAATAGCTGAATTGCTTTCTGGTTTCCCCTCTGGCATTGTACAGGTTGTGGAATTTAATCCGATTGCAATGGCCTTGAGAAACCTTATCTGCCAGACAGCTTAGTATCGTGTAAATAACACTTATACAGCCTCCCATTAGCTCATGAATATCAATGAAACCAAATCCTGTTGATGTTTATGTAGCATGCCTTCTCACGAAAAGATGAGCTCAGCGTAATCACAAATTACAGAATTAACAAGGACAAGATTGCTAATTACACCGGGATGATTCAGGTGACGGAAAAGGTTGCGCTTTACGCCGTCTCCGCCTGTCTCAATGCACCTTTCATATGTCCCGCTCTACGTGTGTCTGTCTGGAAAATGTCCCGCCACGTAAGTGAGCGTAAGACACACACGATGAGGCAGGGTGATTGCTTTGTTGCACCAGGCTGTAGAGATGAGATTGCAACACTGGCGGTCCCCTCTTGACACTGTGTATTTTGGATCTGACAAGGCTTTTTATAGGTACTAAACCTACTTTTCCTCAGCCAGCCAGTGCTGTCCAAAGTGCCACTGCTGTGGCTGTTTTTGTGCCTGATTAAGCGCCAGCACTCCAAGAAAAAAAGAAAAAACCCAGATGGTGGCGAATCTAAAGCCGTGTGCAAAACTTTCACACAGGTGAAAACGTATCACATGCATAGATGATTAAAAGTCAGCAAAAAAAGTGTCACAGATATTGGCTCGGCTTACTGGACATGCATGTTGAACCTCCTCGTTGCATATGGAGAAGCCGGGAATTAAATTGCATTCCTTCGAGGGCAGTGCTGCCAGCGCTCCATCGATTCTCTGAATGCTTGAGAGGTCCAGAAAATCTGGAAGTTTCATGCAGCCGTGAAGTGATGATGTGATCTTACAGTACTAAAAGGCAATTATGGCAGGATGTCTCTCTCTCCGTATCTGTCACATACTCCCAGTTTACTCATTGCTATGTGTAATTCATAGGCTGGATGAAAAAAAAAAGAGCGTTTTTACATTAAATATTCTCACCTTCTTTTTTATCCATCACACTTCTGCTGGCATTAATCTGTGAGTAGTCAGTGTTGTGGTTCTGGGTTTGTCTCTGCAGGCCTGGCACAGTCAGCTAGTCTTTAGCACAGCAGAGAGCTTTCTCTCCATACTCTCACAGGAAGCCCCCTATTCACATTTACAAGACTTCTCCTGCAGTGGTATTGAGTAATACCGCAAGGTAATAATAAAAGAATATTTAACTTTTTTCTTTCTAAAACCTTTGCTTAATGTTGTGTAATATAAGAAAATAGAAGTATTGAGAGTTCACAGTAGAGAGTAAGAAGTACAGAATAAAAAGGTGTGATGGGTTCAGGGTCCATTAGTAGTTTTGAACTATGGACTTTTAACTAAAATGGCCATATGACCATGACTGTCAGCCACCTTATTGGAACATACAAGCATGGATCTACTAAATAAATGGATGCATTGTCCAAGATGTTACTCTATTCATTCTGAGAATTGCAAAACCAGTGTTTATCACATGACATGGAATTTCCAACTATGGCCAGTATCCTAAAAAGGCTGCTTCGCAGTTTACAGTTTTGTCTATCAGTCTTGGTTGAGAAAGTCTAGATTGAGCCATGTGAGGAGCCGTCCTCCTCTATCTCTGTCTCTCTTTTTCTCCTTTCTCATTCCCAACCGCCACATACACTCCTGTGTTCTCTAAAATGACAAACTGTGACGGTAATGATTTAAATAGAACACATTACAACAGTCTGACCTGAAAGCTGTAGTAAGTGCTAAAGGCGGTTCTCTCCTTCGGCTTTGCTTCTTTTTTCAACCCACCATCTCATTTCAGAGTAAGTGGTCCTGGTACTCTGTAAATTGGGAAGCAAGAAGCAATAAATTAAAGGTTTCCAGAGAAGTAGAAGCACAGTCTCTCGATTGTCCTAATACCTTTTTTTCCCTCTGGATGCCTTAAAATTTAGGGAGGGTTGAAATAACTCCGCATAGCAGAGGTCAGGCCTTCCATTAAGGCCGGAGCAGAGAGCAGCCACCGGCTCTGAGCACTGATGGCTCTGTGTGTACTGGTGTCGGAAAGAGTGTGTGTGTGTGTGTGTGTGTGTGTGTGTGTGTGTGAGCTTCAGTGTTTGAGTCTCAGCGGTAGTTCAGGTGCTTCCATTCTGGATGACAGCAGTGCTGCAATGTGAGCCATTCAAGAATCAAATAAAAGTTTGCAGTTTGTCATAAGGATCTGCAGCATTTAACTACTGCACCATCTGCATTATTGGCCCTCTGAAATTCACCTTGTACTCATACAAATACAATCAGCTAGTCCACAGAAGAGAAGCCAGGAGCCTCTTCCTCTCTGCCAGCCCTCAGAGTTGACCACAGCACGTTTTAGAAGCTCACAGATGTTGCAAAGACATGTTTGGATATTTAGTGGATCGTCTTCTCCTCTCGCCCCTTGTTCGTCTCAAACCCCGTTCACTTGGGCCTCTTTGTTGGTCTGCAGGTGAACAAAATGCCTTCTTAGAGTCATCTCAAAAGCAATAGAACAATTAACTAAAAGCACTGAGGCAAATACAGCACTTAATACTTCAAATAATACTGTAGATAAGACAATCTCCTTCTCAGCATGCTCACAAGTGTTTAGCTTTGCAGAATTTAAATAAGGGGACAAATATTTGTATGTTTCCATGTGGTGATATAGTTTTATTTTAGTTGCAAAAAATGGTCTTTAATATTAGATTTGATCGCCTTTGAATTTCCATTCAAACTTAATACCACTTTCTTTTTAGAGTAGAGTTCTTGAGCCAATGGCAATTATTTGTATCTGGTAATAAAACACATCTAGTCTTTGAGATTTCAACTGTTAGCCCATATCTTACCTTTTAGTTTTTTCCTTTTACATTTTAATATTAAAATAAATGGAGCGGTAATAGGGGATATATATATATATATATATATATATATATATATATATATATATATATAATCATATATATATATATATATATATATATATATATATACATATATGACACATTTTGGCAATAAATGTTTCCTGGATACCATTTTTTTCTTTCATTTCCAATTTTCAAACATGATATCAGCATGTTCTCCCTCAAAAAGTCCACTTTCCTTTTGTGTGATTATGGGTGATGTGCATCTGTGCATGTTCGTGAGCTCGTGCAGAGGACACATGGTGTCCACAATAACTGTCTTTGTGCCAGTTGGACATGCTGTCCATGCACGCACGCATGCACACATACAAACGCATGTCAAATAAAGTTAGGTTTAAATAATAGCCCAATAGGAAATGGAAATCAAAAAATAAACTTGATGTTTTAACGAGGGAAAAAACACTGTCCCTCCAGCCAAATGTTTTTTAAAGATCCAGTGCTAGCATGTTACATCCACTACATGTCTGCATTAGCCTGGTATCTATTGTCAGTGTGGTTCCAACTAGGCAGGTAGTTTGAGTATGTTATTGTACCACTTGCCAATAAACAATACGTACTAGGAAAAGCATTCCGGTTGAGTTTCTCTTCGTGATTTTACTGAACGCTTCGGAGATCAAACTCCCCGCGGCGCTTCCTGTCTGTCACCCCCGGCAACGCTTTTGGTCGGTTGCTCTGCCATCTGCCTCCCCACCTGAAACTCTGTCTTTATTTAGCAAGTTTAGGTGTGGTCCCCGTAATCCCCATTTGACTGGCAGCAGGAGAGGACCTCTCGTGGCTGGAAGTCCCTCCTGGCATGGCCTTTTATTGGCTATCCCCTAACCTGCTGGAGAGCCAAATGCCACCCCCTTTTTTAAGTGGCAGATGTGGGTGTGTATGTGTCTGTGTGTCTCATAATCCGTATTTGACTGGCAGCATGAAAGGGCCATTCCTAGCTGGTGCTCCCTCAAGGGATTGTCCCCCCCTCCCCATTGGCGCATTGCCATATGTCTGCTCACCTCTTCTCCATTCAAACGCAACAGATGGGGTTGTGGACTTGAGAAATGAAGGAAGACTGATAGCTGCAATAGGCAATTTCGGACCCCAAGTGGTCCACTCATCCAGATGAATAGGTGACTACGGCTCCAATCTGTCATGGAGCCTTGTGTCTCCTGCAGTTGTTTCGAACGCACAAGCCGCCTCTTTAAATTCAAGTTCGGGAATTTTCGAGTATTTGTATTCTGCCTAGTGGAGAGATGTGTGATCTAATGAACAAAACGTCTGTGAGATGATTAAATTCTCTAAACCATTTACATCAGCATTCCATTTATAAACATGGCTTTCCTCTCGGAGATACGAACGAAAGCCTGTTGGTGAGATGCTCTCCCATTCCAAGCCAAACATTTGTCTTCATCAAGCCCAGAGTGTCCAATAAGAGCTAATGTGATAGCGCAAATCACTATGTGGGTTTGCTCCGTCTGCTCAATGATGGAGCAACCGGAATGATTCAATTACACCGATCAGATTGGATAATGATTTCCATGTGAGTTGCCGGAGATTCTCCCCGCTTACTGCCATCATCTTCACCCCCGCCCTCCATTGCCTCCTCTTTGCACATCTACCTTTTTTCCACTCGTCAACCCAGATTTGTTATTCATAGTTTCTCAGAGCAGTCATACATGTCTTATAAGCTGTAGTCCAGCATACAATAGTGTGTTTATTAAGCTTCCAAAAACAGCCTGCCTCTATTTACACTGTTTTACTGACACAGGCAATTTTTCCCTTTCACTTCCATCTGCCCCCCACCTCCCCCCTCCTCCCATTCCGCCCTGCAGTACGTGTGCATCCAGCTATCAGCAGCCTGCAGTGGTGGGTGTAGTGTAGGTGCAGTCTTATTTTCTGGCTGTCATATTCACTCTGGGTTATGGGAGGGTGACAGGCCTAAGTAATTACTGATTCCCTGTATCAGATACCTCCAGCGAGGCCCCGGAATACACTGCAGCAGACTGCCTGACTGGTTCTCTTGAGCCAAGAGACAGAAAGACAGAAATACAGGATCTGGATATCGGGCCCCATGCTCATTTACATACATTACCTGCACACATTACCTGCACATACATGCATGTGGAAATAAAACGTATAGTTCTTTAAATGGAGAAAAGGGCTGATGGCCCTAGAGAATGTTAAAACTATCTGCATGCATCAAGCCTTTTTTTTACAAAAACAAACTGTTTTCTATTGATGTAACTGGCCTGTCATCTTATTTTAATTTTCAAACTTCTTGCTGTAATTAAACTGCCTCACGAAGCAAATGTGAAGAGACAAATATGTAATGCTATTCTTTTACTGTATTGAAGCGCTCTTGCACAAAATTGTTGCCTTTCATTTCCATATTGTGTGGGTGTGTTGCTGTGAATGAATTGGACTTACAGTGTGCTTGCGTGAATGTTGGCACGTCTGTGTATTTAAATGTGTGAATACTCTATTTGAAGTTCTGACCAAATCCTTATTAAAAACTACGGAAAAAACAAGAAACAAATGGGCATTTTAAAGAGAGGTCAGCGCTATATCACCTATTAAAAGATATATTCTCCTCTGCTATTGTCATTCTCGTTCTATTTTATGATGTTTGCCAAAATGTTTATTGTATATATGTTCATTAGAACTACATCATACACCCTAAATTGATTTGGTTTTTCAATACTATTTCCTGAATTTCCTCCACCCGTCAGACTACTGTCACTGGATCTTACTGGTATTTTTTTTACCGGCGTCGTGTCTAACTTGCTCCCTGTGTGCTCATTGCTCCCTGTAGGACCACGCGGAGATTAACTCCACCATCCTGAGAAGCCAAACCAACACTGCGCGAGTGGAGGGCCTCAGGCCGGGCACCGTCTACGTTGTACAGGTGCGGGCGAGGACTGTGGCTGGCTTTGGCAAATACAGCAGCAAGATGTGCTTCCAAACCCTCACAGATGGTAAGGATTGTCGAGCAGGAAGAACCGTCTCTCTCTCTCTCTCCGCCGCGCATACACAGGCACATACATCCTTACTCTTTCATACACTTTCTTACACTTTTGTTTTTTTGTAAATGCTTTATTAGTAGTATGTAAGATGGAGGGAAACAATGATTTTGAATTTTATTTATTTTTTCTATGTTGAATATATAGAGCTCGGACTGTCTTTGGTTGTGCTTCCAACTGTCCTTGATCCAAAACGCTTTTCTAATTGCTTTTTCACTCAGACCGTCTGTTGCTGCCGAGCCGTCCTAGAATGCATAGCTTTGATTAGTGGTTGATGAGATTATTTTCTTGCCATGGGGAGGTTAGATTGTTTGACAGGGAAGGGGATCAAGAGCAACTGCAACACCTGCTACACTGGCTAGGCCGGGGAACTAAGTTTATTAGTTTAAGTGCAAGGAGGGGTTTGTGCAGGATTGGTGCTCGTGGGGCTGTGTGTCTCTTTTCCCCGTAGTGCATTTTCATAGAGATGACGGGCAATAATGTGGAGTGCTGAATATAAATAAGCAAGAGTTGTTGAGGGATGTATTTAACAATCTGCTGGATGAAATTCAAAGGATTTGCATGTGCATGCTTCCCTGTTGACTAACATGAACGTGAGGCTATAGCGCGAAAGAGGAAGCACATTTTTTGTGTTGCATTAAGGAAGATGTTAATAATGAATCAGAGGCTGATGATCTAGAGAGGGAGAGAGAGAGAGAGAGGGAAGGTTATTAGTGATGATGAAGGGGATCATTGTGGCTCTTTACCAGCCCAGAGCTGGTGGAGTGGCACATTTATAGCCCCCCCTTTGCATCTCCCTGACCCACAAAATATCTTCCTCTCAAACACACACACACATGAAGGGTCCCGGCGCTTCGCAACCGCACAGTTCATCCATCGGCTTCCTGCCATAGCGCGACATTCGTCAAGACAATCAGCAGAGCACTGCTGACAATCCCACCCACGACTCCACCTCCTGACCCTCCGCCGGTTTCCTCCCCTTCCCCCCCGTCGAGCCGCCTCTCTGTACCATCAAGAGCGACAGCCGGACGCCGCCGCCGCCGCCATGTTTTTTCTCAAAACTTATGATTCCTTTTGTCAATCTGCCGGCATTATTTTCAAGGTGTGTTTTTACCATCTCTAGACACAAACTGGACACTCGCATGATGGGGACACTTGATTGACAGGTGTGATGACAAAGAAATGATTGGTCCATCAGTAGGGTTACTGATGTCATGATTCCCCGGCTCTCTAATAGTCTGAGGCCCTGCTAACTAACTGATTGTAATAGGAGGCCTTTTTTCCACTGGCTGGAGAATCCCCAACCACCATTCCCATTACAGGTGAAGGAGAGATTCGACCTCTCAGGCCTAAAAAAGACTGCCGGAACATCACACTGTTTGCTTGAAAATGACTTCAACAAATGTGCAAGTTAAAAGAGCCACATTGAATTTCCTTCCTACATCGAAGCTCTGATGCTGCTTCCAAAATGCATTAGTTCTCCCTTTATCGCTTTAATTCAACAGGCCCATTCTACACAGGGGATTGGATTTAAAAGGTGCTGATTTGCCTGCAGCATGCTAAATCCCGCTTTGCTTTATACCGTGTTTGCTGGTGCTAAAGTTGCGGGAAGAACGTCACACGAAACGTCAACTGAAGATTCTGCTGCGTGGTGGTGTTTTTTAGGCCGTTTATGCCACACTCTGAACTACAACCCGGCCGCCTCGGCTATGAACTTAAGCCAAATGTTTGGGCTCCACACAGCATGTGATTGTCGACAGATGACTTCCTTTTCAACACCTGGGAAACCACGTTCCGAGGTGCACTTCCTTGTCCGCTCGTCTCTGACAGGCATTGAAGAAGAGAAGGCTGAGAGGCCGTCCCCGCTTTATTCGCACTTTCAGTTTTTTGCTTCTCTGTCACTCGGTGTCTCTCTCCTTGTTTATCTAACACAACCTGTCAGTCAGTCTTTTTAAAGCTAACCGGCTCAGCAGAGAGATCTATGTGTTTTCTCCATCCACCCGTACACCCGGTCTAACCATCCAGCTCTGTCTTTTCGGTCTCTCTCTCCCCTTTTACCTCAAACACGCACTTAAATACACAGCTCTAAAAGGAGTAATACTTGTTAAGCTCTAACTAAGTCCTACTCCATGTCTGGCTGTCTCTTTGTGTCACACAGATGACTTCAAGTCTGAGCTGAGGGAACAGCTTCCACTGATTGCGGGGTCCGCGGCAGCAGGAGTGGTCTTCATTGTTTCCCTGGTCGCTATCTCCATTGTGTGCAGCAGGTAGTCACACTTTCCTTGAAGCATATTTCTAAACTGCTCCAAAATTGACTTTGTTGCTATATTTGTTCCTGGCAAATATCCTAATTTCACTTATATTAATGCTGGCAATGTTTGCCCCTTTAGAAGAAGACCGCAGCGAAGCCCACTTTTTCCATTGTAATGAAAGCATGATGCTTCTGGTGACTTAGACATAGAAATATGAATACCATCTGTAACATAGAAGGACAGATGGCAACACTGAATGAAGATGTTTTCCAATCACATTTGAATATGAGAATCTGAGATGACTACTCTGCATACGAGACATGCTTCAGTCAATGGTGATATGTCTGTAAAATATAGCATAAAATGACTGGCCGTATTTGAAACTGATCGAGTATGATATATTTTCTTTTAGATATAGTGTACAAACAATACAGCCAGATACTCAGGTTAAAAGGAGCTGCCTCCTTAAACTCAGAGAATTGGTGATATCAATGAAATTGACTGAAGTTGACATATTTTAAATGGAATATTCGATTTTTAATAGAGAATCTAACCTCTCCCACTTTGCATTTTCACGCTATTTGAGTCAAGCAAGTCAAATTGTTCAGCAGTTTGTCACATTGTCATAATCCTCATCGTGCGCAGCTTTAAATATATGAAAGTCAAATTTTCTGCAGCGCTGTGTGCAACTCTGAGCAAGGAGTGCTCATCAAATGGGCCGGGCACTTTTGATGCCGAGGCAGAAGTGACAGATGAAAGGCAGAGAGATCCTATCAAGGTCTAATTAAAAATCAGCTCATTTTCATAAACTTAATTTGCCATTGCTAACCCTCTGCAACTGATTCAATTGCAGCCACGTCGTATTTAAGGCGTGCGGTCGAAACATGAAGAGCAAGACGGTCTCGTTTACACTTCCTTTCATCTCGTCGCCTCTCACTCTCTTTCCTCTCAATGTTCGTTGCTCCCTCAGGAAAAGGGCGTACACCAAGGAGGCGGTGTACAGTGACAAGTTGCAACATTACAGCACAGGAAGGGGTGAGTCCACCCTAAAACCTAAATCGCCCAAAAAGCAAGTGGTATCAGCTGTTCTCCAAAAGTCTCTGCTGTTATCTGTAAACTAGTATGATTGCCGCTTACTGTTTTTTTACTTGAAAAGCTTTCAAGATCGTTGCGTAGGTTAAGATACCACGTTTTCTGAGCATTTCCCTGTTTATTTGATTTTTATATTCGCTCCACCTCCATTTCCACTTTGTCCAGTCCGCCTCATATCATGTGTTGTTAAGGACGTGTAGGTAAAGTCATCTGGTAGAACACATTGATGAAAAGGATAGGGAGGTAAAAGAGAATTTACTGGAGGTAGCAGGCATTTGGGGATATAAATCCTTCCTTTACTACAAAACCCGACAGTGACTGACAGCCATCTCTCAGGGTGCTGTGAGGGCTGTGATTTAGTCACGTTTCAAGCAGCCTCGCCACCCACTGATGAGGGGAAGCAGCCTGGAGGGAGACACACACACACACACAACCCACCACACACGTGCACACCCTTTTGTGTGAGATGTGTACCTCAAAACCCCCCCTGCGTACTGCCGACCTGGCAGTCTGAAAGGGGGGGGGTTTGAGTTTTGTTGAGCCTGACACAGCAAAGCGCTTCAGCACAGTTACTTTGTGTCAAAGCCGCTGCGGTGCAATCCGGGGGCTCATTAAACCTGGGCCCAGAAGGGCCCGTTTTGTCACAGGCCGTCTTCAGGGTAACTAAATGCAATTAACATAAGTGGTGAGAATAAACAAAAGATCACTTGCAGCCCTAATCATAAAAAGCGTAGAGAGGAAATGCTGATAAGGGATTTCTGTTCATAGGTTTTTTTCCTTTCAACCTTCACACCGCCGACACTCGTGAAGACCCCCTCTCCCCCTCCCCTCCACGCACCCCCCACCCCACGCCGCATTATTGTCTTCCGTTCTGTGAAGATTTGACTGGCAGTTTAATAATTACTGTATTCAACACAACAATTAAATGGCGCAGCTCGACCAATTGTTTCTAGTGAATCTCCCATAATGTGTTGCTGGCGGAATACTGTTCCAGCTGTTTCTACACACTTGAGATGATATCTCCTCATTCCCTGCCCACCTAACGAGACAGTCGTCCGGGGGGAGCGGTGCTCATATTGTACGTTCAGAAGTGCAGCGAGCGTGATGTGGTCACGGTGGAGGAAATTACACCTTTAAACACTGGGTGGCATGTCGGGACAGGCGGATTGAAAGCCAAGCTTGAGCAGAAAATGATTCCCACACATGGATCAAGTGCTGCTTACGGGGGTTGTTTGATTTTCTATTTTGTTTTAATACCACACAATGTTGTCAGTGTTCACCCTTACGTTATATACTCACGTTACTGCTTCAGAGCATATGCATTTCTCGTCCCTTCCCTTTAACTCTTTCCACACACAACCTGAACAAGCTAATTAACAGATGATTCTTAGTGCTGCATGTTTGCAGTATGCCATAATGCTTCACTGCATATGAACAGCAACACGTCCTTAAATCACTAATGTTCAAACCCAACTTCAGCTGTTGTTTGTACTAAAGTATCTTTGTGTTGGATTTGGAAGCCCATTTCACAAATGTAGTTGTTAGATGACAAATACGTTTATACTACAGTAGCTTCATTTTCCTTGCAGCAGCGTACTCCATTAGTTCAAGCGGATTCAGTGAGTGGGCATGAGCAGAATTGTTGAGCGTCAGTAGAATATTGGGGCATTTGTCATTGCCTTTCATCACTCTGAGTTTTATCATTCAAACAACATTCCTGACCCAAAGTGACATCTGTAAAACAGCGGATTGTTAATCCCATACCATTTTCCGATCCGCTCTGTGATTTCCATGCTAATAAGCTGCAGCGTGAATGACAAATGATTTACTCTAATCAAACGATGCATAATTAGTTTTTGTTTGTAAAATAAAGTCAACTCATTATCCTCAAAAAGAAGAGCACCATCGTAACTGTGGGAACATGGGACTGTTCTCACTATAAGCGTACAGCTTGCAGTGTATTTTCTGATTTACAAATATTGTCAGGAAAAGGGATTGTGAAGATATTCACATTTATCTGGTAAAAGATCAAATGAAATAATTCATTTAACTAAAAAAACAATTCTATCATTATTAAAAGATAATCATTGGCGCTATATTTTCTCTGGCTGACATGTTGCTTGTTACATGCTGTTTGTCTTTAGGCCATAACGATATTCTGTGTAGCAGGACCCGTAATTAGATTGTACCCGTTGCCAGTAATAGATTAATGTTAGCATTACTGCCTTAAGGTTGATTTGTGGATACATTAGGGCCATTCAGTAAATGAGCAGGGCAGAATAATAACAGGGTAAATGCCGGACATTGGTGAAAATAAAATGTTTAAGTGCAGTGCAGTAAACTGTAATTTGTCATTCAGGTCGACTAAATACCCTTAACCATTTTAGAAATTGTTTTATAGCGTAGAGATTTATTTAAGTTTATGATCTAAATCCATAAAATTCAAGAGGTTTTCCATTTGTCTTATTTATGTTATATGCACTCCTTTGGTTAAAAAAAGGTATGATGTGATATATGCCCATGAGTCACGGCAGCAGTCATGCATTCTCTCCCGATGGGCTTGCCGTTTTTTCACATTGGGTAAAAATAGAAATGAGGTTTGGATAGATTTGCCTCACACACTCAAACGAAGGAACTATTAAAAATTAAAGCAGAAATCTATCTTTTATCTGATGCCCATAAACATATGAGTCAAGTAAGCCAGGAGCGGCACCAGAGGGAGCGAGAGACAAAAACTGTTTTCTTTTTAAATGATATATGAACGTGGGCTGCGGGCTGTGAATTAGAAAGTAATGGGTGTACGAACGTGGATACGTGCACATGACATTTTGAGTGCATGCGTTCTCACTTCATTTCATTCTTTTTTGTTGAATGGCTCCCTGTTGAGACTTTTGAGTTCCACCGAGTGGTGGTGTGTGAGCGGCTTGGCGACGCTCGTAGATGGAGCAATTTTATAGAATGCTAAGCTGTAAACCCTCCGATGGATTAACTTGAATCCAATCTGTATAGAATCTCTAATGAGCAATTACATTCACACAGACAGGGTTCAAGGCAATTAGTGCGCTAACTAGAATCAGTTTCTAGTCGAGTGCGAGTTGAGGCACCTTGATCCCTCCAAGACCAGACCTTATCCTCCTCGGGTCTCCTGAGACTCCTCCCACTCTCTATGTGGCTTATGCAAATAAGCAGGCACAAATTGACATGATGGAGATGGGTTTATTGCAATCATGGCTGCCAGGGTTTTGACTAAACAGCTTTGAGCGAGAGGGCTGCCCTTGGGTATCACTGTCGAAATGACGATTCTTGTGGCAGCATGTGTCGAATTTGTTTACAAGTGTTTTTTTTCGCCACAGTTCCCCACCCAGCCTCTCAACACCGACAAGTCTCCCTTTTCGTTTGAAGACATCTCCACTCCGTGAACCCGTCACCTATCGCAAAACATCATAAGAAGCTGTGATTATATCTTTTCATAACAGAAAAGGCTGCGGGGAAATTTGCCATACTACTATCAAAGAGCTGGGATTGCTAGTCTAAAGGATAAAAGGGTGAAATCACCCGTCTACATTTACATTTTCTATATACCATCGTCCCTTCATCCGTCCTTTCTGGGGTACTTTGCCATTCCAAGCACTGAATCATCAAACCACCATTTTATTGTCTGTTCTACTCGTAACTGAGGCTCTCTGAGTCTCTGAGGAGGACAATGGGGCAAATGGAGTCGTGGAATCATTTACAACTGTTAAGAGCTTGTAGTGATTGTGAGTAATGCCGTGTCACACTGATTTAGGCTACAACTTGAAATGCAATTTTCGTTCATCAGTTGTAGACATTAGCCAAAATATAAAAAAAAAGAATGCTGTCTTCTTCTGGAAAGCTCATTGAGCACTTTGGTTGTTCTAGAACTCTCTTTGCGAGCCGACATGTCTAACTGCCCCTCCCCACTGGGCTGCCCGACCCACTTCTCAGGCTCCCCGGGGATGAAGATCTACATTGATCCGTTTACCTACGAAGACCCCAACGAAGCTGTGCGAGAATTCGCAAAGGAGATCGACGTCTCCACTGTCAAGATTGAGGAGGTCATCGGTGCAGGTATGGAGAATCGAATGGGTCCGATGGATCAATCTAGAGTGTGTGTGTTTTGTGCACAGGTGAGCGTGAATTGCCTCCATTTCGATGTGTGTCTGTATTCTTGTTTAGCCTGCGTAAGGTCAAGGTCGCGAAGCTCAGCCCCTTTGCCTGCCATATCAGATGGGAACATGTCAAGGGCCCGTGTCAAGAGCAGTAGCAGCATGTAGGGCAGCTACCTAGGGACCTAAGGGCATCAGAAATAACTCCTCGCCTCGCAGCGTATTCCCCGTGCTTCTCTGTTTTTGGAGCCTATTAGTGTTGGTCTCTTTAATGTTCTGGCCTCCTCCTTTCATTAACCTCGCGTGTAAAATAGGTGGAGATATTTTCTCTCATTCCTTTTCTCATTGTTACAATTGATGAGCTTCGTATTAGAGGCTGATTGCCTTGAAATAAATTCTGAGCATCTGGAGGCTAAAACAGCTTGATATGTCCACGGGTTCCCAACACGTCTCTTCCTACCGACAGGGCACACCTTTTTTACAGCAGGATAGGCATGCTGATACCATATGTGTTGGTTCATTTAGAGGCAAATAATACACCTGGTAATAAGGTTGGGCCTGGCATTGATCCTGCCGACCAGCCTACTCAGCAAGCCAGGTGTGAGGAAGTGACAGAGATGGGATAGGGGTAAGAATGCAAGGGGACTAACTAATTAAAGATTTCCGTTTTTGTTGATTTCACTGTGTGGTGTCTCTGCAGGACACAAAGGTGGTGATAATTAATCAAACAGATTCCAAATATTTACAAGATAGTGCTGCCGTGTGACTCTTTGATTGGGTGATACGAAGACACTTGGCTGGCTTTTAGGGTTGATAAATAGTGGGAGACAGAGGCGCCGCACTAAGGGAGTATTGGACAACGCTCAGCATGCTTGATATAGACTAAATGAAGATCTATAATACCTGCCAAGAGACTTGAGATGTAAATACGCTTGATAAATGAGTAGATTTACATCTCATCAGCTCTACTAATCTTTAGTGTGATCACTTCATCATCACACAAAACTACATCAGTTCTCATTTTTGACAGAGCAGCAACTGTGCACCTCTCGCTATTTCCCCTCCAGGTGAATTTGGGGAGGTTTACAAGGGCCGTTTGAAGCTGCCTGGTAAGCGGGAGATCTATGTGGCTATCAAGACCCTGAAGGCGGGCTACGCGGAGAAACAGAGACGCGACTTCCTGGCTGAGGCGTCAATCATGGGCCAGTTTGATCACCCAAATATTATCCGTCTGGAGGGTGTAGTGACAAAGAGCCGCCCGGTCATGATTGTCACAGAGTTCATGGAGAATGGTGCCCTCGATTCATTCCTCAGGGTGAGTAACTTTTGCAAATATTGATGTGGGATGATCACAATCACATATCAACGAGTTGAATAGAAATCGTGCATTATGGAAATGAGATCCCCAGAAAAGGAGTCCATGCTAAGAAGCCCTTCTTATACAAATTAGAAGAAGAGGAGAGTATGTTTCATGACAATCAACATGATTTCAATCATTCTTAATTTGAAATTTGTCCATTAGTTAGCCCTTTATTTCCCTATTAATGCTAACGCTTTTAATGGACTCTTCACTTTCTTTTATTGTCTAGATTGAGCAGGCGTACAGCTTGATCAATATTCAGCTCGCTTTTTTCCTCCTTCAATCTCATGGATTGGTGTTCTACTCCACTTTGATCTAGGGTGGGTTTAAAAGGGCTCTTTTGAAGTTGGCTTTGCTAACCGCCACATCCGACTTGTGTTTCCATCGATCTCCCTTACCCTCTTATTTGTTACTGTGTTTCGGGGGTTCAAAGCTTGCTCTTCAGAGCATTCACGCAGAGGTAGGGGCGTCATGCGTGGATGCTGAAGAGATGGATGCCTGTGTACAAGTGTACTTTTCCTCTGGGTACTAACTAGATTCACTAAAAACCCAATGTGGCTAGTAGTCAGTTAGTTTTGCTACACAATGACCGGCTTAAAAAAAGTTGCTCTAACCTTGAATATTTGGGAAAACCGGCAAATTAGCCCTCCTGTTTCATAAGTACCAGCCAGGTGCATGCTGCGGTAAAAATGCTGATATACTGGAAGATCTTCATAGTTCTGCTGGTAGGGTCCGACTGGGCAATCTTTCTGTGTATGTTTTCTGTATAAAACATCAGAAAACATACATACCAATTTATTTCATACTCACTTTGATATAACAAAATTCAACCCTGGATTTTCATTAAACATAGTATCTATGATTCAGTGAACAACATAATTGCGTGTAGTAATTTTCCTTAAAAAGCAGTAATTGTATTATTATAAATTTGTTTTACTTTTACACAGCTCAATATCCTCAAGCTATTTGTTAATTATGACAAAGTTAATACATAATTAACCGATTTTAATTGTTTTGTCTCCTCTAGCAAAATGATGGCCAGTTCACGGTGATCCAGTTGGTAGGAATGATGCGTGGCATCTCGGCTGGGATGAAATACCTCTCAGAAATGAACTACGTCCACCGTGACCTTGCTGCACGGAATATTCTGGTCAACAGCAACCTGGTGTGTAAAGTGTCTGACTTTGGCCTGTCCCGCTACCTGCAGGATGACACCTCTGATCCCAGCTACACCAGCTCTCTAGTGAGTACCCACACTTTATTTCAAAGGTCATAGGTACCTTTTTATTATTTTATTCGTCTCGTTTTTTTTAATAGATGTATCTTTCAACTCCGCGGTCGCTGTTATTGACATTTATGAAAATCGAAACACTCCAAAACCCATCAACTATCCGTTTAATATTCATTGTAGCTTCTATTACGCTGCCTCGTTCTTTTTAAAAGTCTTTACAACCTTTCACCTTTTCAGTGCCTTTCCTTTCCTATTAGCTGTCCGTCTTTGTCATCACCCTTTCCCGTCTTTCCCGTACTCTGCGAGTCACGGACCAGAGGTCTGTCACATCTTCATTAGTGTGGAGACAAGCCTCCTCTGGGAAGGCTCCTCTCTCGTTGACATGCCCAGAGTGCGGAGAAACCAAAGGGCATTGCGGCCTCTCAAATTGACAGCTACTCCCGCCTCTCCGTCTCTCCGTCCGCTCTCTCCCTCCTCATTCATTATTACTCGGGCATCATGGGAGGCTTTGGCTCCTCATTAACTCCTCCACACTACAGATCTGTAATTATTAGCAGCCATCGTTAGTTCATCTTCTGCCTCTCCTCTTCCCTAATTCAAAACACAATCGCACACCCTCGCAGACACGCGGTGCAGGTCATTAGGACTCGTGGCATGGCGGGTTTGTGAAGTTTAGTTTTTTTTTTAAATGTCTTTGTTTGTCCTTGTGTGTGTGTGTGTGCGTGTGTGTGTGTGAGCATTTGATGATGATTTGTATCTGTGTGTGCAAACGTGTGACCATTATATTATTGGCTCTGCGTTTGAGACTTTGGGCTGAAAAGTATCTTGATTTACTGTCATTATAGTGTGTGTGTTAGTGTGCATTTTGATGCCTGCAAGGTCTTGTGCCAGCAAAACTAGTCAATAAAGGAGGAAGAGCATGGCTTTATATTAGTACACCTATACCTATTATACCTCTCAATAAGTATATATTCATATACACATTTGTGTGTGTATATATATACACAGCATTTATATTGTAAGTTAAATATCAAAAAAATGCTTACGCAAGCCGTACACTCAACCATGTCCTGTGTTTCACCTGTCCTCTTATTTTGGGTCAGCAGCCCAGTGGATCTACATACCTTATTGGACTAGTTTTGCCTACTTTTTCCTATTTATTGCGATATTATTGCAATTTTCAGACCATTTTATGCCACTAATAACGCAATGACAATATAATAGCATAGTAATACAACTACTCTCTTCGCCGTCAAGGAGATCTTAGCGTTCGAACCGGCATTCCGCCCAGCCCTAGCCGAATGCATAGCGTTTAACCCATAGATTCCAGTATACAGAAAACCGTGTAAACAATTGGCAGGTAGCCCATGAGTGAACCAGAAGCGGAGACATGAATCCACATCGGTGTGGCCAGGAGCCAATCGCTCCCCATAGCTTGCTTTGTACGCTCGACTCCTCTGGGTAAACCGTGGCCATATTTAGCAACAAAGAGTAGCTCCCTGTTGTCTACACTGCTGAGCTTGCTAACGGAACGCGGTGTGAAAGGTGGGGATTGGATCATAGATGGCATTCCGCATTTTGATGGTGTTTAACGCAAACAAAGTCCCCCCTGAGGGCATTATCCAGAGAGTCAATAGAGCGGATTAGGTTTGAAGTCTGAACCTGGGGAGCTTTTATGATGGTGACTCAGGTTTTCTGATGGTGCGGTGATTTTTTTTTACCGATAGAGATTTTAAAACCAGCACATCAATGCTTTGGTTGTGCTTCACTTTCATTCTGAATGCTGCCTTATTATCATAAACATCCAGAGGAAATCTTCCATGCTATTTATGTTCCTTCCGAATCAAAAGAGCAGTTTCATTTATATCACATAACCCAAAACCGTCAACACGTCTCTTACATAGAACAAAACAGTGATCATCTAATGTGACAATACTACCTAGCTGACCTAGCTGATTTTGCCACAGACTTTCATTCCACCGCTCCTCCTAATCCATTTATCCACGTGGGCCTCCACATGGTCCTCCACAGGGTCCTGTGCTGTAATTAAGCTACGCATGGTGCCCTTCACTCCTTGACTTCTTCAGAATGACCTGACGCTAACCAATCAGTGAGCAAGGCTGGCAAAGCAGACAAGGCCGGGGGAATCTGGAAAATTAAATTGTCCTGGCGTGCGGTGATTTACATCCTCCTCCTCCAGCAGATTAATCACCTCTTTCCCTCTGCTGTTTTTCTAATTTTTCCCCGCAATTTCAAGCACACCAATTACAATGCCCGTGGTGAGATGCTGGATGTATGGTTAGAAGGACATGCTGGTAATTGTGTTAACCCTGGATGTGCGTTCACTCTGGAACTTGTTTTTGGGAGGTTTCAGAGAGAGAGAGAGAGAGAGAGGAGGGGGGGGGGTCTCCTTACTCTCTTTTGGCTGTTAACCAAAGTCAAGATTAATTAGGCTAACAGGACAACGCTTGGAGTGCAATGGTATTGCTTAGGTGATTCAGTATATGAGAATTAATAGAACTACTTTAAAGAATGTGCGGTTCATTACAGCGGTGGCTTTTTTTTGTATACTTGCATCACTGCATGATTACATTTGCAGGGTGGAATCGTTTGAGAAATTGCCCGTAGAGGCACGATCACAAGTTCAGGTGAGATGTAAGTGGCCCTGCTCACGTTAGAAAGAAGAGGATTGATTTTTAAACAGCCGGCTATCCGAGGAGACTTTCACATTCGCTTTCTTTATTCAACAATCCATCTGTGTAGAAAAGCCCTTCATCCTTGCATCCATTTCATTCCTTTGTCTCCAGCAGTCCACTTCTGAGGTCGCATCTGGACGTCTTACTCAGCACAGATGTGACGAATGACGCTGTTTTATAACATTTTCATCTTCCTAAGTGGTCCATATGAAAATTGTTTGTGTTGATAGGTTTCCGAAAAATTGCCAGAGTAGTCTGTCTAGTCTATCACAGCTAAGCCACAGTGAGCAAGGCACCTACACCATAGTGGAAATGTGTGTGTACGTGTTGTTTGTGTCATTGAGGCTGAGAGGGGTTGAAAGGCGAGGTCACACCCAGCCAGTAGCAAAGCTCATCCGTCAAATCACTGTGACCTGAGTGACATTCTCCCAGGTCCGCTCCAGTGCTCACACCACGTGGATTGCGTTGTTGTTTCAGTCATTTGTCTGTTTTCTATTTGCATCCTCTCTTCGGCTTCAGGCCAATGGCACTTCTTTGTCTACTCAACTTGTAGTGAAATATGTATGTAGTGCAAGTTAAAGCAGCAGTCTCTGAGTAAACAAGGAGGGAAATGGGTCATGGCGAAGAAGGGGACTATTTCTATACGTGTCCCCACGATGGCCCCGCAAGCCACATGCATACATCAAGGGATACAGCAAGAACACACCCCAAAAGCTCCCCATTATTGCCCCATTATTAGATATACACAATCTAAAATAACAACGTACAGATAAAAATCGGAATGACCAACCGTCAACATGTATTAAACATTTCCTGTCCGGCTCACGCTACACCACATGGCTATTGCGCAATAATACATGTGTGCCTCACTCCTGCTAATGTTAAAACAGTTTATGATTAAGAGCCTTAGATCTTGATATAGGTAAAAGAAAATGGTAATACGCCGACGTTCAAAAACAACCTGTGTACACACATACAGTATGTGTTGTTCTCGTTGGCTGCAACGATGCAAATGCAAATCAATATTTTCTCAAACTCTCACTGATTATAATTTGCAGTGTTAGCCACAATAAGCCACAACAATCTAGGGAAGATTTCTCCAAATGTGTGAGTTGGCAATTGGTTTGAACGAGATTTCACACTGAGATGTATGCTAAGCGCATCAGAACAGTGTCCAATGTACCATGTACCGTGTTGTTTACAACTCCTTTATTTAAGCTTGAAGAAGGAGTTGACTTGTGCGTACACATGCAGGAAAGCATCATCTGTCTGTTGAACTGGGAGAAGCACGTAGAGAGTTTCACACTGTGCTGCACAGATCCTCCACTTCCCGATAGGTACAAGTCAGCACTGCAGTGATGATGCACGATCCCTATCTGGCTCCCTATTTGAGGGTCCTGCCAAGCTTAAGTTGCTGCTGCTGCAAATAGAACAACAGTCATGCTCATACATTATTTCTTTGAAATACTAAACATGTAACCCTGGTGCGTTGGTCGCTCTCGCTTTTCTTTTCTTTTTTCTTATTGGGAACTAATCAAGTTGTTTCCCGGCTAATTTTATTCCGATTGCAGTTTAATTTGCTCAGTCTCGGGTTAAATATAGCAGCAGACAATTTCCGGGGATGGGGAAAAAACATGAATAAAGAGGAGAGTGTAGGTGTCGGTTCTGAATACAAGAAATAAAGTAATGTGATCCATACTAGGTCCCTGCATCAAAGTGGGAGCAACCATCCAAAGAACTCCACCTTGATTTACACCGTGTGTTGTGTTTGCCAGAGTCCGTGCAGGGTGGCCATTGATTCGCCATCTGCGGCCGTTGGAACCCATTTGCATCTGAGAAGGATTCACAATGAAGTGGTTTATCTCAAAATAGATGTTTTTGGCGAGTCTGTGTTTCTTTATAAATAAAGAAGGCTGTGATATTAAAAAAAACAAAGATTACATGTTGACATGACATTAAAAATTGTTTATTTTTTTAAGGGAAAGATGAACAACACAATAACATTATTAATATTGAGCGGTCATGACATGAACTATTATGCAGCCTTTTAGCCAGCTTTAATAGATAAAAAGTTAACTTGGTTAACTGAGTAAACTGGAATGCAATAGTTGAAGGTGTTGGTCATAAATTACATTCATTTCTTTACACAACTGTATCACTGATCACGATGTTATTGGGATGCAGTTGGACTGGTCCACTAAGGTACTTTATTATACTATTTCTCAGTTAAAGCACACTATTTAATTAATAAGCTCAATCTGAAACTGCTATAAAAGGTTCCTGGCAACATGTCTTTGTAAGATTCATGGTGGGCTATACTGGGTGGGCATTTCCTTCTGCTCTCTTCCTCCAGACATTCACAGAACTGGCTTGTTAATCAAATCCAAAAACTATTGCCAACCTAATTTCAGACCGTCTGGGATCTTTTAGACACAAAGCAAAGGTTTTCAACGGTTCGCCATGACTCCAATTCATATATTGTATACATTGTGAAAGACGTGTCTTTCTCACCACCAAACATTCCAATGAGTGAAACCAACATTTCTGTCACCAACCCCTTTTTGTTCTTTTTTTGTTTCCACTCAGTCTCTCCGTATCAGTCTTCCTTTCCCGGCCTCTGCATCCCACTCTCTTTCTGTTTGGGCAGACATCCAGGGCAGATCGTTGCTCTCAGGATTTCATTAAAAGGATGTTGTTGGAGCACGTTACCCGGCCTAAGTAAATGCGCTCAAGTGTATTGGTGTGTGCATTGTTTGGGAAGGGATAACTGAAGTTGGAAGAAGGTAAAGAGAAGACAGGAGGAAACAGGCAGACAATTTGAGGGAGAGAAGGATTCCTGCATAGTTGTCTTCCAGATTAAAGAGAAAATACTTTTGGAATCTGAAATGCGTAAAAAACAAGGCCGAACGCTGAACTCATTCACTTAGTGCACGTTTATTCGGGACATTGCTGCTGTTGATCTCTCATTGTACTCTGGCAGGTATATTTGCTTAAGCTTTTCTTTCACTCTGCAGCAGCATGTCAGTGGCAGCCTACATGAAGATATCTGCCACATTGCTGGATGAACAGCTGAAGCCACAGCAAAGACATGAGAGGTGTTTCATTTCGTCGCTGAGTGCATCAATGTCTACACACACGCGTTATTGAGCCAAGAGAGAATTGCGGACACCAGTAAAGACGCACGTTATCTTGCCACCACGTGTTTATCCTTCATCTGTTGGTCCTGGCTGTCAGAGGAACACCTTTGTCTCAACGTGATACCTCTTAACCTGACAGTCAGTCAGCACATCTCTGTTGCAGTCGTACTCCAGACATATCGCCCCGCTGCCACAACTGGTCACAACCTGACGCAGGCGCTCACAACCAGGTGGAACCGGTCACGGGAATCTCATCCGGTTGACGTGAGCTTGACAGGTCACTCCTGTTTTCTGGTCAAAACGTTCTAGTTAGGAAGTCTGTGTGCAAACATGGTTGCATATGTTAAAAAAATGGAAAATAATGACTAATGTCACACTGTGGAAGAGTGTGAAAAAAAAGTGTACAGGTAACAGGTATCTTTAAGGGCCGCTCACCTTTTTCTACACGGTGCCAGGTTCCCTATTTCACCAACTGTATTCATTAAAACGCGGGTCAAGGTGTCACTTGATATCATTACAGATTACTCCTCTCGAGGCCTAGAAGTTCTGCAGCTGCAGTGACTGTGTTGCATTCTGGCTTATCTACACAAAGTCGGAGTTAACTGTCTGAGACGATAACAGTGTTTCAAATCGGTTTCAGGGGCGATGCTTCCCTTTAAGGCGAGCAGAAAACAGCTTGTTCCTTCTCCGGCAGCCAGCACAATATAACATATCCAAAGAGCTCTGCCGACGCTTCCAGGCACCACAAGGAACTCCTGCTTTTATGTTGACTTTAGGTCTGTTTTAATTCCCATCATCACTTCCACTACCCCCCAAACACATTCCCTGTGATATCAGCACTCTTTTGACTGGGGAAAAAAAAAGCTCCAATACTTTTTATTATGTTTTTGCCTCATATGCGTGAGCCGTTCAGCACTCCATGTTATTAAAGCGGGATTTTGGCGGCGCTGTGACTGGCCCTCAGCGGTAATTACTACGGGTTTGCATAGCCGCCTCGGACTCAAACCGCCTTGAAAATGTTATTAATAAAGTCTGCCTCATTGGAAGCGCACACGGACCTTCTTGTGAAGCCTGTGTCTTTGCTCGGGCCATTCAAGCGACACTCAGCTCACATCCCCAACAGGGTCCTGGGGCAGGAGACCAGATAGACGGAGCAAGGGAGGTGGTAAAGCCAGTAATGATAAACAGGGGCCATAATAGAAAGCGTTTTGCTTCGAGCAACTCATTTTTCACATAATTCCGTGTTTCTTTTTTATCGTTATTCATTTTATGCATGTTCTTCCAAATAGAATTATTGACAAAGCATTTCCCCTCACAGAGGGACAGTCGAGCAGGAAGGAGATTGGCCCCTTTGGTTTTTTTCTAAGTGATGATATTCGGCTTGTATTTGTTGTTTTGCCCTCATACAAAAGGAAGGGTTAGAGAAAGTGTCTTAGGCTCCAGACATGAAACAATTCAGATATGAACTGGTCTGAGGTATGACAAAGGCACAGAAGTTCCTGGGGCGAACACTATTGATCGCTTCCTCTCCGTATTTCTTTCTTCTTCCCTCATTTTCTCCGTCGATTACACACAGACAACCACACACTGCAACCATCGCACAATTCTTTCAACGCTTCATGTCTCCCTGGCTGGTGTGCTCATTGAAAAAAACGATGTTTCCTCTGCGTCTTCCCGTGTGTCTCGATAGCAGTCTTCAATCAGGGACAGATGTTCAATGTCTTCATTGTCAGTAAATTCTCAAAGATCAAATCCAAAAGAGGTGCATGTTAAAGAGCTCAGCCTCTCCACGTGTGCAGTGTGTGCAGTATACATACAGAAACACACACACTTAAACCTATTCATCCTCTACATCCCTCCCACCTGTATTCTGTACCTGAGTTCTCTTACTCATTTGCTCTCTTAGAGCCAGCAGAGAACAGGGTGGTCTGTGTAAGTCACTTTTTGAGTTTGTGTTTGTCTCCAAAAGCGGTTTATCTGCAAATGCTCTGATTCAGCTAATTGGCATTACTGAACTGGTGGTAAGCTCAGCTCAGATAAGAGGAGAGGCTCTTTTTGCAGGGGTTGTTAAGAGTGGATATGTGCGAAATATGTATATTTCTGTCCGTCTGCGTATGTTCCCACCTGTGCATTTACGCGTGTGTGTTTGTGTGTATGTACATAATATATATGTGAGTGTCTGTGTGGAATATTAAGGAAGCAGCTCAGCTGTCAATTTCAGTCGGCAGGGCGCGTTGCATGCCTGAGGGCCAGGTAGCCCAATTACAGGCAGACACGCTCGATGTACGAGCAGAAGCCTGGGCCTATCTTCCTCCATTCAAACACTGCTCAGGGAGAGGAGACTAAATGTGATGCTGGTCGATGTGTGAAGGGCGGACCCTGTTGGGAGCCGCTGCAGAGACAGAAGTAGAATCTTGTGTATGTTTTTTTTGCTGCTAGAGTATTGATACTGGGTGAGTGGGGGGGATAAAGACTTTTAGTATACAGCTGAGGCAAGCACGGTGGTGTTAAGGCTGATGGCAGATTTGTATGTTCTTCCCTACATTGCCCCTTTTTTTGTTCTTTCTCCTTTCCTCAGGGTGGGAAGATCCCAGTGCGGTGGACAGCACCAGAGGCCATTGCTTACAGAAAGTTCACCTCGGCCAGTGACGTTTGGAGCTACGGCATTGTCATGTGGGAAGTGATGTCTTTTGGAGAGAGGCCTTATTGGGACATGTCCAACCAGGATGTAAGTGTCGCCTTTTTTACGTTCTTTTTTTTTTTTACTTTAATTAAATTGCATTTAAGGGCAGAAAATTGAGCGTTAAATGGGCTTTCTGTTATGCAGAGAAAAGCAGTTTCAAATGAGAAGCTAAAAAGGGTGATTGTCAAATAGAAAGCATGGCGTCACCACTTAATATACACCTCTTACTATGAACTAGACTTACAGGCTATTTCATGGGATCTTAAAGAAAGATCCTAAACAGAGACAGAAACTAATTTGAATCTAAAAAAAGCTTGATGGCCATTTTCATACAGATGAACAATTTCTCTCTTCACCCCATAGATGCACAATCGAGGATAACTCATAAGAGCGGAATGAATGAATCACACATTTGTATCGGCTCCCATCTCACGGCATCATCACTAAAGATGTCCTTGACTCCCACTCTGACGCAGACATATTATAGACAGTTACGTATTGCCCTCTTTTCTTCCTGGCTAGCTTTTGAGAGCAATGAATGATTGCCGAGAGCTCTGATTTGTTCCCCGTGTCCGTTTTGGATACGGTCCACACACAGACTCCAACAAACACACAGGCACCAACACCATCAGCCACAACCATTGGATATGGTCCCATACTAAGTTTCTCCCCCTAAGCTCCCTTGGTGAGACAATCAGCCAACCATCAGGCCTCTATGGACGCTGCTCCACAAGGACCGTCCAAACCAGCAGATGTTGCCTCAGTGGGCCAGCAGCAAACGCTGCCTGGTGGGACTAATGCAGAGAAGCGGACTGGCACTGCTCAGCGTGTCCGGCTGCTCAGCCCACCGACACGCACACACTCACACACAACCACTTCTCCATATGCACCATTGGCACGATTGTGCTGAGTTGCACTCCACTCCAGGGTGGACTTGGCAACGTACAGAGCGGCCGCTGTCTCTTTTTGACTGTATTTCGCTCCAGACCTTTATCTTGCAACTATATTAAAAGAAAATATTACATCTGCAGATACTTTGGATACAGGGATGTGGGTTAGAGCTGGATTTATCAATGTGTTGTGCTTCACAGGGTCAATAATATGCAATCCGCCCATTCCCAAGGGATTTCTTTATCCAGCGACACTGCCTCTGCTCTCCTTCACGTCTCTTTGCCCGCTTTGTCCTCCAGGAATACGATGGAGTCAAGAAGCACACCAGCACGAGCGCTAAATGTCTCTTGAGTGGCTAACGGCGATAACTTGCAATTAACCAAACTCCCCCTTCCCCTCTTTACCCCACCAGGTGATTAACGCCATCGAGCAGGACTACCGTCTGCCCCCACCTATGGACTGCCCCAGTGCTCTGCACCAGCTGATGTTGGACTGTTGGCAGAAGGACCGTAACGTACGACCTCGCTTCAGCGACATTGTCAGTACCCTGGACAAGATGATCCGTAATCCCACCAGCCTCAAAGCTGTAGCCAACATCCCTGCAGTGTGAGTAAAAACACTTCAACAGCCAAAAGGGCACGTTTAGTCGACACAAATTGGCTTTCCGTGTATTTACACATGCTGTCTGCACAAACATTTTATTAAGTACATGCTTGGTTTTGATCACCTAATAAAGTAACGTGGATGTATTACTGTTGATTGCATCACAACTGAAGTTTTTCCCCCCTCCGATCCACACCCCCAGATCAACACTCAAATTGAGTATTTTTCCACATTTTGTGGTGTCTTTTTTAACATTAATGGTTAAGGAATATGAAATTTCTCACACGCTCACTCTGTTTTGGGTAATTTCTTCTACAACTCTTCAAATATCCTCCCACACTCATCTTAAATGTTTGTGGACTTTATGTGGAATGTGAGCTTCAGGTTCTGCTACACATTTTCCATTCCCATTTTGAGGCTTTGAAGTGGACACCAACAGTGCCTCACAGACTTCAGTCCAGAAGCCACCTGTTTTGCTGCATGCTTTGTGCAGCTGCCATGTAAAAAGGTTAACTTTTGGTTTCAGTTGGAATTAGTCTAATGGAGGCGTATTTTATTCAAATTCCATTGTGTATCTCAGCTAAGTTCACTTTTTCTTGAATTGCATACAGTGTTTTTTTACATCTGACACTTAGAAACCTCAAAATAGCCTCCTTGTTTCAGGGGGAGTATTTCCTTACTTTTGGTGGTTGCAGCACTTGCCACTCAGGCCAAGGATTGGAACATTCCTCTAGACAGATAGATCAACAGACAGATAGACGGATAGACAGACGGATGGATGGGTGAATAGATGGATGGATTGACAGACTGATGGATGGTGGATGGAAGGGGATAGATGGAGCGATAGATACAATCACCTACACGTTCTCCTTCTCCATCTTGCATCCGCTCACACACAAATATACAAAAGCCAGAACCACAGTTCCTCTCCTTCTCTTCCAATCGTCCTTCCTTAACATTGCAAAGAAAGCCTCGCACTGTACTTACCTCCTCTTACAAGCCTTTTCCCCTCTGGATTCTGCAGGCCTTCCCAGCCACTGTTGGACAGATCTATACCTGATTTCAACAGCTTCAGCTCAGTAGAGGACTGGCTTGCTGCCATCAAGATGAGCCAGTACAGAGACAACTTCCTAAACTCAGGTTTTACTTCCCTGCAGCTGGTGGCTCAGATGACCTCAGAGTGAGTTCACCTGTCCGTGTGTAAATGAAGAGCATGTAGCACTTGACGGGAACACTCTTATGAAATTATTCAGCATCAAGTGTGTGTATTTATAGGATGAATGTTCCCATTGACTCAAGTGGTATTGAAAATATTTTCCAAAATGGCTACGGACGTGAATCCTTTAAATACACATTTTTAAGAGACAAATTGATCTGCTATTGTTTTTGTTTCTGTTTCAGCATCATGGCATAATTTATCACACAGTTGTAGTACAATACAAACATCCATATTGCACTTCATTTACTTTAATTAACAATGTTGCTTGGTCTACAAATCTATGTTAAAATATTAAATCATTATCATATTTTTTATTAAAATTGTATGCTTGGGGCTTGGTGAATCCTCTTTGCAATGCAAAGCAACATGCATTACTAAATCTTCTCTCAAGTGACAGAATTAATTTAGTAAACTTACGTTTTCTGTGCACTGCATGAATAGCTTTTCGCCCCGAACGTGCCCTTTTATATACAGTGATAATACAAATGTAAATGAAACAGAAAATGAAAGTTCTTTCTAGTATAATGCCATTATACTCAAATAATCCATTCCATCTTCAACATAATGGAAACTCTTCTTTTTTTCTCTCCAGGGACTTGCTGAGAATAGGAGTGACCCTGGCAGGCCACCAAAAGAAGATCCTCAGTAATATCCAAACCATGAGGGTGCAGATGAGCCAGTCACCCACGACCATGGCATGACTACAGGGGGCGCTGTACCATGGCGAAGGCAGCATTCCTGGGACCAACAAAGACGGCAGGCCTCGAATGACCCCTGATCCATCGGAACGCGCCAGAGTCGAGACAATTGTCTTAATCTAATCAACTACCGCGACAACAGGAGACCAGGGTCTACGCTATCACACGATCAACAGTTATCACACTTCACGCAATCCACGCCAGGAGTTCAGGGTCCAGACTTGATGCCGTTTCTTCATGTATACGCAGTAACGCAAAGAAGACAGATATCAGTGTGTGTGGCTATGGACTGCCATTCAAGTCATTTTAAACCAAAATAACTCCAACAATCGGACATGAAACAGGGACTCCCTCGCAATTTCAAACAGTATGGTAAAATAAGTGATATCGTACTTTTTTTATTATCTGGACTTGAAGATGTTGTAAACAAAAGTGTGAGACATTTAGAAACAACTTGTAACCTGTGATTTTTAACTGTCGTCAATGTGTGCAATGAAGATGCCTTGACCTGGCCAGAAATAAGTCCAAGAAGAAAAAGCAATTACCAATAGGAATAATTAGAGGGAGAGGATTACAGGGATGTACAGTGGAGCACCGATTTCAACTTCCACACTTCATAATTTGCTTGAAAAATGTATCGTTAAATGGACTGGTAAACTTTAGAGCCAGTTATATTTTTGACTTTCAACATCTGTTTGTTGTTTTCATCACTATAGCAAGATTCCGCCCACTCATATTTAAACTTAAAAACTACCTGTGGGAAGCTGGGTGGAGGGACTTCTCAACCAGCCCCACCCACATTCAGAGAATATAAATATGTTTATCTCTTGCTCACTATGATTCTATATTTCATAATAAACCTTCATATTGAAGGTGATATGTATGAATATGTATGTACAGAACTCTCTGCTTGCATTTTTGGCAAAGACATGTTTGTTGGCTAGATTGTGATAGACACATAGAGACGTGTACATTCTTCAAGGTGCCCTGGATCCCTTCACGTGACCGGACAACAGACACTGGGTTGTACGACTCCCTGCTTCAGGGGAACAAGGACAATCCGACTGGATTTTAAGCTGAGGAAAACGTGAAAGGAATCGTAGAAAAATAATTGGTATTGTACATCTATATGACAATTGCTGTAGGAGTTCAAATAATTGACAAAATATCCGTCTATTGGGAATCATGTTTAATGTGGCTGTACACATTCTTCGTCTTTCGCTGGTCAGCACTTACTTGTACAGATATGTTTTATGTTTTTATTTGTTTTTGTTACGTGTATTGAGAGTGCTGAGCAACATCCAGAGGGGAAGGAAACGCCACGCCTCGGCCGGCCCATATCTATGGTAAATATCTGTGGAAAAGACATCAAATTGCATTGGAGCCGGAAAAAAAAATCCAGTTAATCTTTCCTACGGCTTCTCCAACCATCTTTGGCGAAGCGAGTTTGAAATAAATAAGAGAGAAGCTAATCAAAGCGCTGGACATAGCAGTGAATCCGCTTGACTTCTGTACCCAGTCAAACTGAGTATCCCTAGAAAAATAATTGGTATTGTAAATCTATTTGACAATTTCAGAGTTAAAATAATTGACAAAATATCCATCTATTGGCGATCATGTTTAATGGCTGTACACATTCTGTCTCGCACCCCATGCTGCTGCCATATGGGTGGACGGGTCGAGGGCAAACGCGTTGTGAGAGTTCCACGCACATATGAATCAGTGTAAGTCTTAGCGGCAGCTATTGGTGTTTACTATTGGTAGTACTTGATTGCCAGATGTCGTCATTGTTCCCAAGTGATGCTGTGGACGGACGGCCAGGATATTACTGGATAGTACACAAGGAGGACTTTTTTTGTCTGGGATGGTCGATGATGATTGTTGTGTGAATGGTTGGTGCAAATTGGTAGTGGGAGACTAGCTTGGTCAAGTAGTGGTGTTTTTTTTCTTCTTATTTTCTTCTTAGAAAGCTGTGAGGAATGGTTGTTGTATTTCATGAATCAAGTTTTGTTGAGTGTTGATGAAATTGTAATAACATTTGGAAGGAAATTTACCTGAATGTCCCCCTTATTCACCGGCAATTAACATGAGCTTTTATAGAATCAATTCACTGCGGCAGTTGTGATTCCCCATTCGAAGAGTGGTGAATGAATACGGCTCTAACCACCTTACATCTAAAATTAGAAATTGCTGGTGGACCAATTAGTCGATGGTTATATATACTCTCCCGCCTTTAATCATCTTCCTTCTCTCTCTCCCCTGCACTGTCTCCCTGGCCTCCCTTGCTAGCTGGCACATCTCCAGCGTGTTTATTGTTGATTTAACCACCGGGCTGGACGAGGTTTAACCCGGCCTGAGGACAGGTTGGTTGGCTCTGTGCTCCGATGGGCCCGGGCAAGAGTGCAAACACCTGCTGGGACCCCGCATTTGAATTGCATCCAATTAGGGAGACTGAAAATATATACACACAAACAATGGAACCATTGATTATGATGAAGGGACAGTTGGCAGGGAACCGTCAGAGTTTTTGCTCATTTAAGAGAAAGAGGGGGGTGAGTGTTTTTACAGAGGGGTGGAGTCAAAAGACAGAAGTGGCATTAAGACGATGATTATTAGATGAAAGTTAGAAGTTCAGCTATTTGTATTGCAATTGGGTTCATGTGTAAACATCTTTGTCATTGCATCATTTTCATTTCTTTGGTTTAGATTGGGAATGGAAAATAAGTAATCAAGCAACTGGCTTGCTTCAACGGCGAAAAATCAATTTCTTTCTCTATTTCCATTCATCAATATAATAATAATCACATACTTCTTGACATTGGCATTACTCCCATTTGCAGAAGCTAATGATTGAATTTGAATGCATTAGTGCTCTTTTCAGCTCAGTCTCGTGTATTTGCTTTCAACCCAAGAGCCTGTGGATGAGATGATAGAATACATTCATTATGTAACAGTGTAATTCTCCGTGTGCTCTGTTTGTCTTTCTAAATATCTGACTGTAATGACACTCCAGTGTGATAAATGGAGAGGCGGGTCGCCGTCCATCTCTAAAAGCTGTTTCATATGGAAGCCATTCATCACACTGATACACAACCCAAGAACAAAGCTTGTAAAATGTTTCACGGCGCTGTTACTGTCACAGAAGTGACCAACGATCCTTTTTAGTGGCTGATTTCATGCCTATCATTCATTGGTGGGAACGGCAGAAGCCGTTTTGACCCGACACCCTACAAAACTACCCTATTAAACTACTCCATTCTCTCTTTTCCCTCTGTTTCAGAATGTGGACTCGATATACACACATATTTAAACCCAAAACACACATTTTCTGTCACACTTTTACATGCACGTGCACACCGTGTGAACACTTGGAGTTGCTGTGGGGAGCCTGTGGAAGAGCAAGTCAAATGGGATCTTTCAAGGAGACCAGCTATAACATCCACCACGTGGTACACAACGGATGTTGAAGATGGATATTAGCGCGCACATATCATATTTTGTCTATTTGTGTGGCAGAGAGTGAATGAATGTGTGGGAGCATAAGAGGCACGTTTGTATGTACAGACATTTATATGTGAACAGGTACACAGTTTAAGAGTTTGAACAGTTTTTTTTCTTCTTTTTTTCTGTATAGCTACCACTTGTAAATTGTGACAAGTACGTGTCAAGAGTTTGTAAACTGTAACTTTCTGAGAAATATTGTACTAAAATGCACTCAATAAACGCCTTGAAAAACATGTCAATCACTGTAAGGTCTGTGACTCGGAAGGGCTATAATTCTGATTTCATTATTGGTTGTTCAGGAAAGTGGAGAGGAAGGGTTATTATCCAGTAACACTTCTGTCATTGCAGTGTGTGAGCGTGACATCTAATGCTGGGCTTTATATTGAAAATGAACAGCATTTTCTCGCCACCGGTCTGGCTGGCAGCTCATGTTGAAAGCAAATCAGCCACTAATAAATGTGCCGTCACTTGGACGACGCGCACACCTTCGAAAGAAACTCTTAAAGAAAAGTGACAATATTGTGACAAACTGGTGGAATTTCTCCTCCCTTCTAAACACACACATGCACAGAAACACACAAGCAGCAACAGCTGTCTTGTAAATTCCAATTGCACAGTGTGTTGCACAGTAATTATATGGTAAGTGAGGTGGGTCAAAGATGTGGTGACGAAACCGTTTCTCAGCATCCCCCCGTAACTATTCATTGACTCTCGGTTATTGATAATATCCAGCTTCAAATTAGCAGAGACCGCTATGAAAATATCCTTTTTTCAGAGTAAATGCATGATGTCCCAAGAACTGCTGAAATCGTCTGCTTCTTTCCCACAAATCTTTTTACGTGGTGAAAATGATCTTTTGGGTAAAGATCAGGATGAATCAGTCTTTTTTTCCACTTTTCTCTGGATGTGGTTAAGTTATCTCTCATTTGAAATTAAACCCAAATGCAAACTCTTCCTGGAGTTCTCTGCTTTTGCTACCGCCCAGTCTAAATAATGCCAGGTCCAATACCCCAAACTGTTCCACTAACAACACTACTATCCTTTGGTCCTTCTCCGTTGCCTCTCAAGTACCAGAGGCCGTCCCCAGGCAGGCTGAACATACCTGGATTCTAATCGGAGCTCTACCAGGACGGCCATCGTTGGCAGGAATGCTGCCATTTTGTTAAAACTCAGGAGATCGGGATTGAAAAAGATTGTACATTTTCATCTGCAGAAATTTCCCCCATGGTTTTGTCAGACCCCACAACCGAACCACCCAGCGCCTCAGGAAGATGGCAGGCTACCATGTGACTAAACTTGGAAGCATGTGAAAATACTTCAGATTCAAACGCGTGATCCCTTTGCTTTGCAGAAAGGCGTTTATTGAGGGACCTCTTACATTAGATTATATTCACATGCCCCCACTAGGTGATGTTTACCAATCTGCAGTACGATTTATTACTGGAGCTTATTATAATATGAATCATTGTGACATATAGGCTAAGGTTATCTGATCCTGTCCCCCTAAGGCTTGATAGGAAATACTCTTTTAATATATTTGTATGGTCCTTAATGTTTTTTATGGTGCGTTATTGTCTTTTGGCGTTATACCTTATCAAACAGGTTTTAATGATTATGTTTCAGGTGCCCGCTCTGTATACTAAGGTTATGAATCCAGTTTTACTCATCGTGCACTTGCTTGCGTGAATGTTACCCATAGGGCAATTTCTTGTTTTAAATAACATTTCATTTTGTTTAAGTTGACTACTTTGCCTTGAATTATAGCTGCTTCGTTTATTTCTAAGTTTCTAATTTGTGTTTCTGGGCGCATGTAATTGTTTGTTTCTTCTTTTTTGTGCTTGGTTATAATGTTGTCGAGGTCTCTTCCTCAATGTATTTATATTACAAAACAAAGCAATAAATGTTGAATGAATGAACGAAATGATTGAAATTCTTTGCGGGACAAGTCCAAATCAAGTCAACATTCTTCCAGCCTCTCAATCCCAAGTGCAACCTTCCTGCTATCCCCACCCAACAGCGATGTCACAGATGTCCCAGAGTACACCTGCACGTATCCTAAGCCGGGGAGTTGAACCACTGGAGATCAGCAAAACCAAAGATTTTCAGAGGGTGTTAATAATTTAATCTTTACGTTAACCTGTCAGCTTGGTGTTAGCTCTACAGTAGAGCTCTGGGGAAAGAGCGGGTCATCCTTTAATCACATGGTTGGCAGGTAATTTCCCGTCTGCTCATTTGCCCTTTGTTGAAGTGTCCTTCAAAGAGCTTCGGGGGGCTTTACAGCAGCCCACTGCTCTTAATGTAAAGGACGGGTTCTATGCAGCTCAGATGAATGTGAAGATATGGATGGAGTAGATTTTCTTTTTTTTAAAAGGAAAGTGTCTTATTTTGTAGTTTTCTGCCACGCGTGTCCCCGGGCAACTTCACTTCCTGCCTGGTCCCGTCATCCCCTGTGATTGTCGGATTGTTTCCACCTGTGTCCAATCACCTGCACCGTGTATTTAAGCTGTGTGTGTCTCTTGTCATTTGTGGCGTCATTCTCTATTGTCCCGGATGTTCCTAGTCTATGGTCTGGATGGTCCTCGTTCCTGCCTGCCTTTTCCCCCCCTGGTTCCTGTGTGTTTTTTCCTGTTGGCCTTTTCTTTATTGCCTTTTTGACTATTAAAGTCGTTTTTCGTTAAGTCTGCGTTTGAGTCCTGCCTTCCTACCCAACCTTGACAGAAAGTACTGTTTATCACAAGTCCTTTTTGGTTTTATCTGGTCATCAGGCAAACATTTTTCCAGCTAATGCGTGTAGATCAAACCAGTCAAGAGTTGTTTAGAAATCCAGGCAGCCAGACACACTCACATGTTTTAAACAAACCCTCAGATTAGACAAAGCGGCTTCTTTCTACCCACGTCCATGCTTAAAGTCAGTTATTACTCTAGACTAGAATAAATTAGTTCACCTTCAATTCATACGTTCTTTTAAAGGACATTATTTAACACCAGCCCCCCTCCACTACCACCAGCCAGAGAAGGAGCCATGTTGTTAAGGAGACAAGGTCATGTAGATACTTTAATTGCACTTGTAGCGCTCCACTAATAGAGATGCAATGACCATCAATACGCCTTAGGCTCAATAAGACCTGTTTGCATCAAATTAATTAGAGATAGTGGAAGATAGGAGCCCTTGTCTCAATGAGTACCGTTGTGTGTTAAAGCTAAAGTGTGTGTGTGTGTGTGTGATGGGGTAGAAATATGTTGAGATGGATCAATTGAGGCTGACAGAAGCAAAATAAATGAAAACAGCAATCAAGAGAGCTTTTTTAAAGTTTGCTTCATCTGTAACTGGGCGTTTATCACTGACCAAAGACTCCGCTCACTTTATTTCACATTAAAGTCACAGGAAGTTTGAAATACTGACTTCTCAGGAGTCTGCCTTAATCAATATTCCCTGAGCAATCACCTGTGAGAAAGGGATTGGCTGCACAGCGGGGAACTCCTGCAGAGAGAAGGGGAGAGAGTTGGCGGGAACAGCAAGCCATCCAGCGGTGCAGATCCGAGTGTGGGAGTAGAAAACTCAGAGTGAATACTGAGTGAAGAACAAGCAGAACAACACTGGGAATTTAAAATCATCCGACAAAGGTGATGGGGCGCAGAGATGGAGAGAGAAGGTTCTGGCATGGTGTTTGCATCTTTAATAATACACACTAATTTAACCAAACAGAGTATAACATGACGTGAGTTGTGTAGAGTAGATCCCCAGTGGCTGGTCGTCTGCCTCGTGAGATTGTTCGAGCCCTAATTCTTATCTCTAATCTATAGTGATATGAGTCGACGTCATAAACGCCTTAATCTGAATCCTCAATTATAGAATTCAGATTAAATCTGTTCTCTCATAACCATAATTCTACAAGTAACAATATATAGAATATAAAGAACATAGACAAGACGTACAATGCTTTTTTGCTATGTTTTTTTGGTCATACTGTTCTTTTCATTTTTCTGACTTTGTAGAGTCCTGATATAGTATAATAATATGTCTTTTGGTGACTTTTTTCCACATACCAAATAAATATTTCTATAACTTTGTTTGACTAACTATTTTAGGATTTTCTTTAATATTATAATATGGCATTTTAATAAATTTATTTGACTATACTTTTTATGACTTCCTTAGACCGAATTTTCTATTATATTTCTATGATTTTTTAATAATACTTTTTTTTCTGAATACACTATACCATGAATAATATATGTTATATGCTATAAGTTATTGTGATCATTGTTGTCATATATTCGATTAATTTATATATTTTAATTTATATAATTTTATTTTTTTATAAGATTTATTACAAGAAACTAATATAATCTGGGAAAAGTGATAATATTACCCCCATATCTGCTTTTCTGCACATAGGGTAGAATGCTATTTAAAGCGCCCCAACTAATACAGCAATGTGTGGTTTGGTTCGGTCATCGACCTTCAGCTTCTTTGTATTGCTTCAGAAGCCACATTATTTCTTTGAGGAACAGCACAGGTAATCCTGCTCAATGTATTCCCTTTTATTGATACTCAGTCAATACGGTAAATGTAGAAGTGCTGCTTTGCTTAATCAAGACGTCAGTTGCAACACTCAAAGTGCGTGTCCCTTAATAGTCGAGGACATTTCTCCTTTTTTGTCAAGGAAGAGAAATCCAAGACCAGGGTCAAATGGGATTTAATGTCTCTGAGGAGTTAATCAAATTTAATTATGATACATATAATTACCAAAAGCAATCTTCTGTGTGGTAGGAATAATCATTTTTCAGAGAGTCGTTGGCACCTGCAGCGGTAAGGCGTAATTTAGAGGCAGTTTGGAGTGACAGCAGAGGGAGTGTGAGGAAGAATGGGACAGAAACAGGTGACTGTTGTATACATGTGGAAAAAGCTGTTGGCTTCAGGCTCCTCTTTTTACTGTAAAAGCTTAGAAATAATTTCAGAAAAATCTAAAGCCCACCTCACAAATGTTTAGAGTCATTCTAAAGATTAACATCCAACAGGATTGTATTTGAAAGGTACTTCATTTTTCTAAATGTCCTACAGCCATATTTCATTGTGCGTTTGGGAGACAAGCAAAAGCCCGGTCGAATCGAGATGTTTTTAAATTCTCTCTATTTATCATAACAAAATGTGATAGTGAGAGTGTGCTGACGTACGCCAGCTACGCAAGGAACAATGGGAGCTGGAGGAAGAGAGGACTCATGGAGGCTCCAAGAT